CTAAATACCTCATGTTGTCTACCGTCTTAATAGCAATGGTTCAAAAGCAATCTTGACAACATATCATAAACTAGAAAAAAATGCATCCTTCCTGATTGCAAACATGCACTATAGTTAACTGTATACATAATACTGTAGAAATTATTGATTCATAGCAGACTCCCTAACAACCAGCATGAATAATCATCAGCTGAGGTTGATTATTTTCTAAGCAACAAGACATAAACCCAGTGTTTCAAAAAAGAATAACTTGTGAAATGAAAAAAAAAGTAACAAGACAAGGGGGGGAAGTAGGAGTGGTTGAAGATGAAAGGAGCTTTATGGAGGGAGGGATAAAGGGTGCGGTGGTGTATAAAGCATCCTTTGCATCCATTTCTACATCACTACAGCTCCTCCAAGACTGACTTTAACTCTTCAGTTCCTTAAAACTCTACAAATCTTTGGTGAGTAGAAAATCTAAACAATGCTGTTTTATTTGTTGTTTAATTTCCTTTGCTGACTTATAAAATGCATTAAAGCTTTTGTCCAATAGAAATTCTTATGAATGCAACAAGTTGAATGTCATGTCAGTGAGTTTTATTTGTGTAAAATACAAATGCAAAGTTACCATCTCTGTGTGCATTTTGTGTTTTCAGCCAACCATGACTTCTCTTTATTGCTTGTGAAACTAAACATTGCAGCAGACATTGCTCATTTTGCTCCGATGCCAGTTATTTGGCAACGTGTAACCTGCATCGTCTTTTAACCGATGCATTATACATTCAAAAGTGAGCATCAAGCTTTCGTTTTTACTTTTAACAAAAACAAACTAATTAAACATCGGATGAGTAGTATGGTATTTGTTTGGTGCTCTCTTCCTCCGTAATTGGAATCTGTTTACAAACCCTCTGCTGCCACAGTTTCCTCAGCTTACCACACCCCAGAGAGAGAGAGAGAGAGAGAGCAAGACCATGTGAGTCAGAATGCAACCAGAACTGACTCCCATGGGTTCATGGAGTCACTGGAAAAAACATCAGACGTACAGCGTTAAGAGAACAGACTTCAGACATCACTACTGGGACTTAAATCAAGTCTTGACCTGCTTCTTTACCTAGTTCAACTGAGTTACCTGGAGAGATTAAGCTGTTGCCATAACAATGTCCTGTGTCATTCGGCAGAGACGTTGCGCTAGAGACCGGTGAAAGGGGGAAATGAGAATGGCTGGGCCCCGGTGGAAACCTGGTGGTTTATTTTTATCTCCAGCTCAGTGGAAAATCCAGAGAAAAACACTGGCACAGACAAAAGCAATGGTGTCAGCCACTACTTGGTGCTCAAGGACTCTTAATAAAACCTTTATGTATATATTTAGCTACTTTAGGAATATATTTTGTATTTATAATTACAGGACATTAATATATTAGCCACTTAAACTGTAAACTGCAAGAGGAAAAAAAATATACAAAAAATTCAAACAATTAGCACAATAGTGAGGCAGACTTATAACCAGAATGTCTGATTTTAAGGTTTTAAAGCCCAGTTTTACCAAACAGGGCCAGCACTCCTCTCAGAAATGAACTCAAATGCCTGTGCCCATTTCTTCGCCTACAACTATTTCCTCAAGTTGTGGATATAAATGCTGTCCTTTGTTAACATTCCAAATCTGACCACAATGCCACATGATCCGTTAGTGCGCACCAGTTAAAGTTAACAGTCCTAGACTTTGCCTCTAGATGGAGCCACAGCAGTGTTGAGTGAGAGCCTTAAGAGAATCCTTAAGAAACTTCTACAGTTCATATGAAGATACTACGACCTGAAATCATTCCATCATAATGTACACACACTCACAACTCTTTTCTTTCTTCCTGTCCTCTTATTCCAGCTATCGTCATGTCTGACGTCCACACAGCAATGGCCCTCCTCATCAGCTCCTTCAGTAAGTATGCTGGCAAGGAGGGGGACCCCCACACTCTGAGTAAGGCAGAGCTGAAAGAGCTGCTTCAGAATGAACTTGGAGATCTGCTTGGGGTGAGTGACCACTGACCTCTCTCCATCTCAGTCCTGCACAACCACCAGGAAGCCCATTGGCATGTACAATGTGTGTTGAATGTATGATGGAGAATGTACTTGGTAGAATTTGTGCATCATCACAGCCTGTTGTGCTTTATGGTCGTGCACATGAATTTCCCCCAGTTTCATGATCAGTGCGAGTGATGCGTGTGAGTGTAAAACCAGTCTACATGTTTGTTTGACTTTTCTCACCTGCAGAAAGCCAGTGACAAGACAGCAGTGGACCGCATCTTCAAGGAACTGGACCAAAACCAGGACAACAGCGTGGACTTCAGCGAGTTTGGCAAGATGGTCTTCTGCCTCACTGTGATGTGCCACGAGTACTTCACCAAAAAATAAGGATCAAGCGCCCTCTTGGGGCCAACATAGAGCGCTGCCGCCCTGTGAAAGAGCAGTGTCTCATGACAGCTGTTCTGATGAAGGAATGAATATTTACTATTTACTTAATCACCATGAAATTGAAAAATTCTAATGTTACGCACAATGAAATAAACTTCTTTTTCTTTGAAACACTCAACTTGTGTTACTGATTCTTGTCCAAAACACTTGGAAGTGGTTAAGTTGTGTTGACACTAAACGTTCATGCTGTAAATCTTACAGCTGGATTAAAATCAGGAAAGAAACAATAAATGCAGGTTATGTCAAAGAATTATATTGTAACCCACAATGAAATGAATTTATTTTATTTGAGACACTTGACTTCTGCACTTTATGTGTCACTGCATATTTCCGGGGACCAATATTTGTGACAATATTGGCTTTCGTGCCTTAAATCTTAGTGCTGGGTTTACTTCAGGGAAGGATGTCACAGATGCAATCACATCTAGAGCTGGAAGGAACAGAATACATTTACAAAAGCACTCTATTTAAAGCAATGAAAGGAGAAATAACACAATACCCCTGTCACAAATTAAATGTTAAATTCATAGGTAACAAAACGCAGACCTGCTTAATACAATACACTCTTTTTTCTGTTACAGCCTTCTGGTGTGTCAAAGGCTAATGACTGCTAATGTTAGCAAACGTCATATGTTAGATGTTGTTGTATAAGCAACATTACTATGACTATATGTTTTAGCGTTCACTATTATTCTGTAATTGTAGTTTCTGGCCACAGTGGGTTTCAGCAAAATTTACATTGTCTTCCTTTAAGGAAGGTTTTAAGATAGCCTACTGTAACTTTACCTGGCAAAATTAGGTTTTACATGCAAAACAAAAATAACTAAAAAATAAAAATAATCAGGTTTAAACGTGATCTGGCTGGCTGAAGGTTTTCCATATGTACGTCTGCATGTTTTTCTGTGTATGGCTTTCCTGTAGGTGCCCCAGTTTTATTGCACAGTCTAAAGAAACACAGGTTAGATGAACTGTAAATTCTACATTGCCTTTAGATGTGACTGTGAATGCAGTTGTCTGTATGTGTTAGCGCCATGTGAGAGGCTTGGCAACCTGACCTGGGTGACCCTGCCTCTCACCTCATGTATATCACAATAGGCTGCCTTGATGAGGGAAAGTGGATGGATGAATAGCATGTTTAGTTAAACTCCACAACTATGGATTACCACATGCAAATCAATGCTTTTATTTGTGGTATATCCATACATTTCTGCTCATAGTTGTCAATAAGGATTCTGAATATGACTTTAGCTTTAAATTAAGTATTTTTCACTGTTACTCTTACTTTAAAAAAATAATATCTATCACTGATTTAAAATAATTTGGATTTTCTTTAAAGGATCAGTGTGTAGGATTAAGCAGCAATAGAAACTACGGTGGCTGCGAAACTCGAAAAAAATATGGAAGAACCTTTCTAGAGCCAGTGTTTGGTTTGTCCATTCTGGGCTACTGTAGAAATATTTCCTGAACCACCATCACATGTGCATTGGATTCAAGATGGTGCTTTGTTTTCTTAAGCTGGAGAAAATAAGACTCTCTCTCCAAGCAAGGTCCAACGCATTCTTCAAGGTCTGGGGCCCCTTTCTCAAGTACATTAATAACAGTACATGTAAGTGGTAAGTGGTGGTAACCCAGTGCTCACTTCTTTATAAAAAAAAAAACCCACACGTTTTTTTCCCCTCTATAAAAGGCATTTGTATTTCTCTAGATATAAGTGTTATATATACAAAAATCCTAATAAAAAAGGTGTAAAATATGGTGGTTCAACATGGCTGTGTGGAAGAGGAACTGCAGCCCCTGTAGATAGAAATGGCTCATACACCAATATTCTTTTAACGTCATGTATTTTGGCATGAGTAATCACGCCCTGAGGGCTGACAACCTGCAAGTTTTCATTCCAAACATATACTACAGCAGGTGACTTCCCTCACACATCACTTCTCCTTCTCTGTTTTCAAAATGAGTAATCAGCACCTCTATTGCACATGATTGCCCGTCCTTGTTTACATGGATTACACAAGATAACGTGAAACAAAGCATGGTATCAGTGTTTGGCAAACAGTTCACAAGGCAGCATATCAGTGAGGAAAAGCCCCAATGAAGGTGGATGAGTGTACAGAGAAACAGAGCATTTTTCTGGGATTAAAAGGTGATTTTAAAGGGAAATCTACCTAGTTTCTGTATTGTTTCATAATAATTTAGATAGTTAACAGCCCCCATACAGATAGATAATCATTTTTGTAAGACTATACTCAATTTGAGAAGATAAGCTATGGTATTTTTTAACAATTATTATTATTAAATGATAAATTATAAGAGGAATAAAATGTATTTGAGGGGGTTCAAACACATTTTTACATTTTAAATTTTTTACATTTGAACTTTTTAAAAATATTTCTATAAAATACTTCTATATTATATTTTAAGTGTCCAACAGAATAAATAGTTAACCCTACAGCTTAAAGTGAAGAGTAACCTCGCATTAAAAAGTTAGAACAGAGCTGCCTCTCGGTGACGCTTCCGGGAGGTCACGTTGTTCGGCCGTGTCTCGTGACGCCACCGAGGGGCGGGTTATCAACAACAGACTCGGTCTGTGGCGCTAACGTTACGTTACCGACGGACAGAGCCCGAGTGTTGTTTTGAATTTGCTAGAAGACACCGACTGGAAGTGGGGGCTAGGGCCTGTGGATAAGATGGCGGATGTAGAAGGCGATGAAACTCGGTCGACTCTACCTTCCGCATCCCGTAACGGTCCGGTCGTCGGTTCGTCCGCGAGCACCGCGGGCCAGATCGCGACCATGGTAACGTCAGGACCGCGGACGGTGAGGATCGTGAAGTCGGAGTCCGGATACGGCTTCAATGTTCGCGGTCAAGTTAGCGAAGGAGGACAGCTCCGGAGCATCAACGGGGAACTGTACGCTCCTCTTCAGCATGTCAGCGCTGTTCTGCCCGGCGGTGCGGCAGACCGAGCCGGGATAGCGAAGGGTGACCGGATCCTGGAGGTGTAAGTCAGCCTCTACCCTTTTCATTTAAGCCAGGTAGTTAGCATTGCAAAGGCTAGCTCCCCACTTTAGCCCGTGTTGATCCAATTTCAAGCGTGTGTGTGTTTTCACGTTAGCCACTTTTTTTTTTTTTTTTTCGAGGTATAAAGCTGCACGTCACCTGTCTGTTATGACAACAAAAGTGTCCTTTTTACGTAGTAAAACACTAATTCCTCTCAGTTTACGGCCATTCGTAGATAACCACACATTCGGGGATGTAGCTACATGACGCTAACGCTAGTGAGTTAGCTGTAACTAGAAAGCTAACCAGCTTACATAAGTTGGACAACAGGCTGTGCATGTTGATTAGCTTTAGCTAGCTAGCGACCCAGGTAGCTATAACGTCTTGTTTGGCTAGCCCCTTTGCGCAGTGACTGTTTTGAGCACGGTTGTAAGGACGGGATTTAATTGACAGCCTTGTTGACATTGCAGTGTCATATGCATAATATTAGGGATGTCAATTGTGACCCTGGCTGAATTCAGTGGATGGCAGAGTTGTCACTCAAATTCAACATCATTATGGTGTGTGGCTTTCACGACAGGCGTGATGTTTACTTGTGATGGTATTATGTATCTGTTGTTTTTGCCCTTTATCCCGATCAGTGTAGCTGAGTGGTTTTGTTATGCATGATTTGGTCTTGAAGACATCTTGTAGAGTTTGTTTGGTCAAACTTTAAAAAGTCTGGGGGCAAATGAGCTGTTAGCCCTAGGGGAGATTTGTGTGAACTTTTAACAGATATAATAGTTAATTTTATAGATACATGATTTCCCCACAGAGCCTCATTCTGTTTATTATCTCAGATTTCTGATAATGTCATGGTTAATCTAACTATCAGTGTTTCTCCCACCATGGTAGCCTCGGCCCTTGTTAAGGGTAAATGCTGCAAAATGTAGGAGAACTTAATGTTGACTATGTAAAGTTACTACAGTTATGGTTTTTTTAGGCATCCATGTGTATATGTGGCCTGGCAGAGGGCTTATTGTAAGGACTTGAGCAGTTAAAACATGTTGCTTTATTATTGTGAACTTGACTAGAGGCTAAAGTTAGAATAAGGGAGAAGAGATACTGAAAATGAGGAACACTTGACTACTTCTACTTGCTGAGGCATCAAAAAGGTTTTCTCCATTTTAACACTGTAATTTCTCTCTGGTCACATGACAGGACCAGTGCTTATCATGTGACTTATTAACCAGCTTGACCTTTTTTGCATAAATGCAAAAGAATCATCCGGTTAAGTATGTCATATGTCAGCATTTTACCTTTACTGTTTTATGAACAAGGAAAGAGGACAATGCTGCTTGTTATTCATTTTCTGACTCAACTGACGGCATCTGGTTTGTTCTTTCTTAGTAACCAGAAAGAAATTGAATTAAAACAGGAACTTGTTTTGCTCTCTGTGTACATTAGATAATAATGACATGAGGTTTTATAAAACTGGACCTAGTGGACAGGCCTATGCTCGCGCTGTGGCGTGCTCCCTTCTTTCCTGTGTCTGTCCCGCTGTTTCTCATAGGAAGATTAGCAGAGACACCTGATGCTGGTGCCATCTGGCCTCGGCAAAGCCAAGAAGGGAGGTGTCTCACAGCACCAAAGGAAAGGGAGACATAAGAGATGACCTGGTTACTCAGCACTCCAAACACTGTGCTTATCAATGAAGGACAAAATGCTCTGATATTGCCACACGCCATCACACCTGCAAGGGTGAAATGTTTCATTATTATTAATGAGTGGGTCGGATATGGTCTGACACACGAACAGTCCACATTAAATACACTTTTCTTTATCTGAGTCATTATGAAATTCATTGTTTATGTTATTAGTTTCATTCATTCGGTCACAGCGGGTCAAAAAACTCAGTCTTTTGTGCCACAGTTGTTCCTGGCCTCATGTTACCTTCCATAAAGATGATTAGTCACTGGATTTTAAATGTGGAGGAAAAAAGAGAGCACCAGTATTGGATTGGTATTTGATACTGTGAGAGATCCTGAGTTGAGGTTTTGGAATTGGCATCAGGAGAGGAATGAGTTGAAACAGTCCATCCTGAATTGTTTTTTTTACCAGAAATCCTTTTGAAATATTTCAAAACTGTCACACCATAGCAACATTGTAAAAGTTGAGTCAAGCCCTGCTCTGGTCTGGGCTTAATCTTCTTCCCTTTGTGTGCAGCGAGTTGAATCATCCCCTTCCTCTTGCTCTCCCTTTCCTTCCAGTAATGGGGTGAGTGTGGAAGGTGCCACCCATAAGCAGGTGGTGGACCTGATCCGTGCAGGGGAGAAGGAGCTGGTTCTGGCTGTGCTGTCTGTTCCAGCTCAGGAGGCTGATGGATTGGAGGGAGGAGAGGATATCCAACCCAACTATGACTACAGTGATAAGCAGGCAGTGCCCATTTCAATTCCCACATACAAACATGTAGAGCAGCACTCCGAGAGGTTTGTGGTGAGTGCTGATTTGAAACATTATCTTACATTTTTCCCTCAAGCGTGTCTTTTTTCCAATGGTGGTATTGAAAAAAAAGAACAATTCTTGATTGTAAACGTACCTTCCTTCTACTCTAATGTACTAAGTCTGTCTGTCCTGTCTCTGTCTCAATGAACATAGGTGTACAACGTGTATATGTCAGGTAGACAGCTGTGCTCAAAGCGCTATCGGGAGTTTGCCATCCTGCACCAGAACCTAAAAAGGGAGTTTTCCAACTTCAACTTCCCAAAGCTTCCTGGTAAATGGCCCTTCTCCCTGTCTGAACAGCAGCTCGATGCACGCCGCAGAGGCCTGGAGGAATATCTCGAGCGAGGTAGGCTGATTTTGGAAAGAAGGTCACTGCTGTATAAACCCCCTCCTTGTGTGTTGATTTTCAACATGGGCAAAGACAAAAGGCTTTTCTGTTACCAATCCATTCGAGAAGAATTGCAGCTCCATTTTCAAAGGCTGACATTCAAGCAGACAATAATCCATAATAGCCATACGTACCAAAAGAAGCAATAATTAAATGTATACAAGCAGAGATCATGTAGTTAGAATAGAAAAAAGGCCAAGCTTTGGCTGTGATCAATTTTCCACTGTACACGAAAAATACTTGAACACAGGATACAGGCAAAGTAACATTTAGCTGCCCTTTGTTTATTTAATATACGCTAACTTCTCTCTGCCTCCATCTTTCTCTGTCTCTGTTTGTCTCTAGTTTGCTCTGTGCGGGTGATCGGGGAGAGTGACATCATGCAGGAGTTTCTCTCTGAATCAGATGAGGTATGCACCATTTATTGTTGTTCTGATATGAATTGTTCTAAATTTAGATGCAGCTATTTTTATTTGACTTATGACTCTGAGCTTTTGAAACCTGAACCTTTTGACTGGGGAAGGTTTTTCTGCAAATCTTTGTTGTATAACTTGTGTCTTGTAAGGCAAGGCATCTGCACAGCACCTTGTTTATTATACTGTCTACTGTGTTCTCCAAAGTTAGATTAACATTTTGCTTCTCTAATAGATGATAATAGATTATTTTATATTCTGTATCTGTAGCTATTTCAAGAGGATTTTGGTGAATTCATCTTTTTGGTACATCTTTCTCAATCTTCAGTCTTTCAGTTAAAAAAAACAAAGTAGGCTATTTGCCATAAACAAGCGTCAGCAGTTAGGGCAGTTGAGTTTAATTACTTGTGAGTAGCTGGTGGCCCATCATGACTGCTAGTATGGAGTTTAAATGGGAGAGCCAAAACAATCAAATAGTTAATTGCAGTTCCTTCCTAGTGTTTTGAGGAATGACGGCAGCAGAGACAAATGCAGTACTACTGAATTAATCCAGTACTTTAGTAGGATTAGGATTTGTAACAGGTTTAGGATAGGAGTTCTGGTTTAGTTATGTCTTGTTTGTTTGTTGTTTTAAAGTCCTGAAGTACCTCACAGTAATACAAAAGAAACACATACATATGCCCTCATACAAGCTGGCACACACCCTTGTTAATCCACACACACGAGTAAATGCAGCCCAACAGCTGTTCTCATTATGTGTTACTTTGCTTTGCAGAACTACAATGGAGTGACAGATGTAGAACTGCGGATAGCCCTGCCAGATAAGACCACCATCTCCGTCAGAGTCCGCAAGAACAGCACCACAGACCAGGTGTACCAGGTAAGAACACAGAACATCTGGGATGTTGCTGTCATACAATAATATTGTACAGTTCATTGTCCCATCAAGAATTTTTAAACCAATGTTTTCCTTACATAAGTGACTCTGTACTGGTCTTCCTGCAGGCGTTAGTGATGAAGGTGGGAATGGACACTATTATGGCGAGCTACTTTGCCCTTTTTGAAGTCATCAACCACTCCTTTGGTAAGAACTGTTTGTATAATCAATGTGTATGAGTGTTTCAAAGTGAAATTCAAATATTCTCATGTGTTTAATTTAAAAGCCTAGTCTCGGATGACTTCATCACATGGCCACTAGTTTTCTAAATAAAGACCTGTGTCATCCCACTGGTGAGCTTAATTTATTGGGCCTAGGGGTATGTGTGCAGGTTTGGACAGCAAGGGCAAGTAATTTGGTACAGGCTAGAATTTTTTTAATGAATAAACAGACTGCTTTTCATCCCCCTCCTTATCCCTCTCCTTTCTATTATTTGTTGCAGTGCGGAAGCTGGCACCTAATGAGTTTCCCCACAAGCTTTATGTGCAGAATTACACATCGGCAGTGCCGGGGACTTGCTTGGCGCTCCGCAAATGGTTGTTCAGCTTCCAGGAGGAGGAGTTGCTAAGAGACAACCCGCTGGCACTGCACTACTGCTTTCACCAGGTAATAACAATAATTGAATCCCACTTGCCGTGGACTTAACGGAACTCAGCACAAAATTTGATCTTCTGGACTTTTTTTCTTCAAGAGTTTATGTACTCCTTTTGAAACTGTTAAAATGTTGTACGTGTCAGCATTTTATGGCTATAGATAATTTCTCCCATAATCAGAGAAATTTACTGTATTACTCTATTCTTTTACTTTTAATTACATATACTGACATCTGAATCTTCAAGTTCTCAGTCTAGTTAATTATTTGTACTGTTATAAATCTGCTCTTGCTCTGGCTTTTGTAATAGGATTATATAGAGATTATTATGAGTGCCGTACTCATAAGACCTGTACTTGCCAGCTGGGAGTGTGTTGGACAATGATTATTGTAACTGTGATAATCATATCCTAAACAAAATATCACACTACTACCTAAATAGTCCCAATAGTCTAGTGCTTCTATGTAAGTATGTATTTATGTATGTATGTACTTACAAGAAAACCAGAGAAGCATGATATTCTACAAGCCAGCAAAACTTTTGTACAGCTTTTGAAGTATAAATTGTAAAATGGAAAAAATAATCCTCTAATGCAAATGCGCTAAAAATAGCCATAGCAGCAGCAGCCTATGGGCTGTCTGCTGACCAACAAAGGTCACTACCTGAAGCGTTTAAGGCATGTGAGTTTCAGCAGTGACTCATTAAAGTGATTTATACAAGTAAAGTCAGCACATCACCACATCTAGGTATGTGCACTTCTGAAAACAAACCTATCCAGAATACCAAACCTGCAATAACCATTCCAGTTATTATGGAGCAACATTACCATTGATTTGGAGTCCTGTTTGTAGCCACTTGGCCAATGTAAGTCCAATATCCTCTCACCTTTTAGCTCAGTCTCCAACTCTTGAGGAAAATATCTGCCTCTTTTAGCTGCTAAATTCTCCACTAAGTTCACAAGCTATTCTCTAACTGTGTCTGTCTGCTGCTTTGGAGAGAGTATTGAGAGTACTGAGAGTACAGTGGTTTTTAGAGATTTTTCACTGAAAACAGCTGACAGGTGCAGCTGAAAACACCGCTTGGAGATTGGTGAGAGTTAACCAAAACATGGAAGTTGCAGGCCAGACAGCTAAATAATGAGGTAAAACTCTAGAAAGCTCTGTGAATCTGAGGTGATCAGGTCATAATTCAGGTGGTAATTCTCTGTAGGTTCATCATTACAAGTGACTCCTTTCACACTGTCGCAATGTCATTTCCACGGTTAAATATTGAATATAGGAATAGTGTGTACACCAGGTTATTGCTGTCATTGGTTCAACTTAGTTCATAAGTGTTTTGTTAAATGTTTTTAATGGCTGATTATTTTGTCCATTGACCACAAATGATAAATGGTGTTGCATCTCTTAATGCCACCCCAACCCCCCATCCTCCCCACCCCCTTTCTGTCTAGGCATTGGAAGATGTGAAGAAGGGATTCATAAAAACAGAGGACAAATCCTACCAGCTGCAGAAGCTGGCAGAGCAGCGCAAGATGGCCACGGTCAGTCCCACAGACCACTCTTTGTTCAGGGAGGAGATTGGGTTGACTACACTTTTTGCCTGCTGACCAGAGCCATCACCAAAACATTACCAAACAAAAATGGACAGAAAAGTCAGAAACCCTAATACAGCCCTCTTTGGTGTGAACAGAATTAAAGCCATTGAGTTTATACTGATGTTTGTAGAACATTAACTGAAAGTGGCGTGTGTTGAGTGTTTCTGTGTGTAACCTCCATTTACAACTATGTAGCCACCCAGCACAAGATTGCCAAGCTTTTAAAGGGCAACTTTAGATAAATGAATGTAAAAACAACACTGGCTTACATGTGCTTCAGTGATCTGATTGTTCCAAGTAGATAGATAGATAGACTTTATTACTCCCCGGAGGGAAATTGGGTAATGTAAAATGTTAGGCAGTATCTGATTTCAGAAATGTTCATGCAAACAAGAAACCTGGTTTGCTTCATCGGGACCAGGGACATGGTAGAGAAACCAAGATATTTGGTTACCGTACACCATTTGCTTTACGTCTGAATTTGCATGAAACAAACAATGTGAATGTAGTGATATCGCAGTGTAGTGGGGCTAAAGGAGACATTATTACTCACAGTTTTACATCTTGTTTCCAAAATAATCTGGTCCAAATTCTGACTGAAACTATTACTGCATTCATTTTTATTGTTATAACTCTGTTAACTCCATTATATTTATAGGGCAAATCAGTTTTCACAGCTTAACAGTGGCTTATTCTTTTTAATTCAAACTGTGTCCTCTCCCACCACAGAATCCGTCCACTCAGTCACTCAAAAATGTCGCAGCAGTATCAAATCATGAAACAATGTTTGTCATAAACTGAAATAATTACCAATTACTGGTACAGTAATGTAGTTGAACTCTGGTCACAACCCAAACTCCTTGTTAACTGGGATTTTGTAAATAATCTTACCATATCCTGGTTACTTATAGTATTGGTGACTAAAGTATTTGCTCTATAATACTTGTCTGTTAGTACCTGAGTCTGCTGCGGACATGTGAGGGCTACAATGAGGTGGCGTTCCCCCACTGCTCCTGTGACTCCAGGAGGAAGGGACACGTCATCACAGCTATCAGCATCAATCACTTCAAGCTGCACGCTTGTACTGAGGATGGCACGCTGGAGGTGAGCGTTTGTCTGTGCTAGTTTGATAAAGTAGCTCATCACTTTGTACGGCAACATGGGTTTAGTAAACCATTTGGTAAAAATATGGTGTTTCGTTATTAAACATAATGATTATTTATTGGATATACACTTATGGGGTTACTTTGTATAATAAAATCAAACCATTCCTAAAATGATTTTCCAGATACTGAATTGTGAATCAAATCAATGTTAAGTTAAACAATGTATATGCCTATGTATGCATGGGGCTTACCTAACTGTAAACTCTGTCTCTCCCTCAGAACCAGGTGATAGCTTTTGAGTGGGCAGAGATGCAGCGCTGGGACACCGATGAGGAGGGGATGGCTTTTTGCTTTGAATACGCCAGAGGAGAGAAGAAACCTCGCTGGGTCAAGATTTTCACTCCTTATGTGAGTGTACACACACACACACACACACACACACACATGCACTGCTGGTTTTTTCCCCCCAACTTTATCTTTATTGATTTTGTAACATAGCAGCCCTGGAGGTCAATAATGCAACAATGTACAAAAATATATTCCCATAGATGCCTCATCAACCCACCCCTCCCTCTCTCCATTCACCATTCGCCCCTCACACCCCAAAACACATCCCTCCTGTCCCTCCACCCACCCCTGACTGCTGATTTATACAGAATATGTACCTATTCAAAGAAAAAGGAATTAATAACAAACAAAAATAACTAGACATTTGCAGGAGGGGATAAAATAAAGCAACTGTCCGACACACACACACACACACACACACACACACACACAATTCAATTCGATACTTTATATGAATATAATAGGATTACTATTTTGTGGACTCAGGCTTACACTTCAGGTTATACATTATATTTTGATTTGGCATACGCTAATTCATTAGTCCATCTAGCCAGTGTAGGTGGTTGTTTGTTTTTCCATTGTATGGCTTTACATTTGTTGGCTGTGATGAGGTTTTTTTATTGACATTTATCATAGCTGTGTCGCCCAGCAGGGTTTCCTTTGGTTCTCTGTTGGACACGTTTTGCATATTGTTTTTATTGTGCTTATGTATTTATTTTTGCTTTGTTGGAATTCTCAGTTTTAGAGTAACAGATGTGATTTTTAAAAGAATGTAATATAATCCACTAACATATATGATTTGATAGTCAACACACTTCCTCACAAAGCAGTACACAGAAGAAGCAGCCAATAAAAAGTAGCTTGCAGTCTGATTGTGCTATATTGGAAGGCCGAATAACAATTGTGTTTGCTTTTTTTCTCTCAGTTTAACTACATGCATGAGTGCTTTGAGCGGGTCTTTTGTGAGCTGAAGTGGAGGAAACAGGTAAGGACCACTCCTTTCCTCTTTCATTCTGGGAAGCACAGGACTCCAGTCTGAAATTCTAAACTTAGCTTATTATTAGATTTGTGTTTTCTTCAGGCCTTTGTTTTAAATTATTAATTTTATATTTGCCATGTATTGATTTCTTTTCTGTCAGGTTGAGGAAGAGGCATCTGACAAAGACAACAAAAACTGCAGCAACAATGGTAAGCAGTTTTTGCCATATTTGTTGCCCTAAATACAAAGCAATAATATTGTTTGTAACACACAACAAAGCACCAGCACTAAAGGATAAACGGCTAGATTTTATCTGGGGCAAATCATGAGGAGATATGTATTCAGATGTGGTGCTGAGTGGTACTTTGAATGGCCTCGGCCATCAAGCACCATGAATTATGCAGAAATTTCCTATTTGACAAAAACTAAAAGGGCAAGGGCAGGGAGAGGATTTCAAGTATGCCACATTATTTTATGTCTGTGTATTAAAGGCAAAAATATACGTGAACATTTACTAGTTAGTAAGTAACTTTAGTTCAGTGACATTAAATTACACCCTGCCCTAGAAAGGGTGCATTCACACACATTTGTTTTGTTTTATTATATCTTTTGTGCAGCTCCTATGGCATCATAACTCAACTACAAAGGAGAGAAAAAGCTGCACTTTGTTGGCAGTGTGCCAGAGCTTCAAAATGCACTTAAGTAAGGAGTAATAAATTCCCCTCCAGTGCTATCAGATTACTGTGAGAAGACATACACTGATTTTTGTATACGGAGAAAAAAAAAGTATGCAGAATAGATACTACACGTTATCAGTGCCATCTCCAAGAGGCCCACACATAAGGGGGAAGTTGAAACTGTTTTCCTCATGTGAGACAGCACGAGAACAGCCATACAAGTATGCAGACAAGCAACTGCGAGGCATGAGGATGAGTAAGGATACTTTGGAGTTACACAAACGGAGGCAGATAATGAGCTATGGACAAAGCTGAGAAGGTTGAGGACATCCAGATAAAAGGCAAAGGCGAGAGCATGCCACAGAGGCACTTGTAGAATCATAATCACTAATTTGAAGCATAGTAGACATTCAGGGAAGTTTCTTAGTCACACTGTTGCTGGGACACTGACTTATCTGTGTTGTGTTGTGGCAGCATTTTTATAAGTCACATGATGTGCGAAAAAAAAAAAAAAACATCATTCAGACTTGTTCCCTGAACCGTCTCTCTGTGTTTCAGAGTATCTGCCTCCTCTGGAGACACAGCAGAAGGGATGGCGCCACCTAGGGGGGGAGATTGCAACTTCCTAAAACCATTCGTCATCACTGAAACTAGAACTGGTCCACTTGCATCATCACAGCCACCCCAGAGAGCGCCCATCGACAAACACAGAACTGAGTGACAGACTGAGGCGATCCATGCCCCGAAAAACATACTGGAAGTGACCTATTTGGGAAATTGGAATAGTCACACTTAAACGACCCCAGGGATACACACAGCAAGAAGAGCAATGAAGGAGAATAAACAAAAGCCAACTTTCATGTCATTTACTAGATCTCCATAGCGTGTCTGTTGTTTTCCTCCTTGCATCCGCCCTGTGATATGAGGCAGGACACGAGCAAATTCTTGCCACTGGTTGAGACGCGACACATACAGTACATACAGTGTGTGACCAGTCAGGGTCACCACAGAGCAGCGGCACCATTTTGCGTGAAGGGAGCACCGCACTGAATCGCTACTTGACGAGGGAGCTGACGCGGGATCCGATTGTGACGGTTGGGTCCTCCCAACACGACTGGCTCCGTCCAAAGCCCTCGGAGTGGCCCTGGTCTGATGAACTGAGCTGAGATGAAAATAAGAAGGGAGGGATACAGAAAATGGGGTTTTCACTTCTTTAACAGGTAGTGATGAAGAAAGAAAGCAAAATCATGCTTTACACTGATGATGGACATTAACACAAAAATTATGTTTTCTATCTGTAAGGTCAGAAGTGTTATTTCTTTGTTACAAATGTAACTAACTGAAAATGGATGTTGGGGCGGGGGAGGGGGGGACGTGTCCATAATTATGTGTATGTTTAACAATCTTACTTCTGATAAAATATAGATTAATATAAGAGCTATAATAATTGGTTTCTTGATCTAACACAATGAAACACTAACTGAATAGCATTCAAGCTACTCTAACTAATCTCCATTCTTTACCTTGTCTTGTGGTCCAACCCACGCTACTTCAGAATGACAAATGTTGGCAATCTGCCGTGAATGTGTGTGTGTGTTTATCCCCCTCGCAAGTGTTTTATTGTGGTGATTCTGCAGAGCCTAGAAGTTGAGTGGAAGAGGCTTTCTCATTCTCAGCTCTGTGCAGGGATGATCTCTTGAACAAAAGGTTGATGGGCCAAAGCGTTGATGTGTTTGAAATGGCACACATTCTGCATGAGGAATCTGACAGATTGTGAATATGAGGACCAGACAGGAGCGTTTTTGAGTGTACGTCTGTTGAGCTGCAGTTTACTGAACAGGCAGCAGAGAGCAGCAGAGTTTAACACAGATTTAGTCATAGGTTTTGAGCAGAAATAGAAATCTTCTCAGAGCTTCTTATAGAGTGATCCCTCGGGCTCTGTAACTCATCCAGAAGTATCACTCCACTGCAGTTTGTCCATTAACCACGTCAGGAGGACAGGTGGTGTGTGTGCGAGCGTGTTTGTTGTACTGAGCATAAAGTTGGCGACTGCAACCACAACCATCAGCTCTTACTGCACCTTAACGAGTACAGTAATAGTGCTGTGTGTGTGTATGCACATTACATATGATTTACAATTAACACAGATTTTGTTTGTTTTTGAGCATTTCAGTTTTTTTTTCACTCTAAGATAACATGTTTTTCTTTCTGTAGATTTAAAACACTTACATGCAGACAAAAATGCTCCTGATTTGAGACAATGTGCGTAAAAGGCTAGTAGTTTTACCTCGGCCGATTTATTACAGACTCATTCTTGTGCTTCATTTCGCCTTCTGGCAAGCGACCAAAAACCCAAAACTGAGAGTGATGTTGGTTTATTTTTTATTCACACTGACTTTTAGAGCACAAGTTCAAATTTCAGTTTGTTAAAAGATTTTTTTTTTTTTTTTTTTTTTACAGTTGAGCATAGCTTTCAGGTCAATAAAATGTTTAATTCATGCCTAGGTTTAGTCATAATTTGCTTTCCGTCACTTACCTTGGAGCATGTGTGCGTGCATATGTATGTGGGTGTGTGTGTCCTCTATGTTTATCATTGACATTGCTGATAAGCTTTTAGGCTGTGATTGGACGTGTCTGATGAGCTGTCGGTTTGAGAGCAGGCAAATGAAGATGGGGTTTTGTATCTGTACGACAGCGGAGACGCCAGACAGATGGAGACAAATGGGAGGCGTCTCTTATTGTCTCGCTAACATTCACAGCCCGTCACATGCTTTTTCTGCATAACGCACACACATCCCTGTCTCCCTGCTACTCTGTTTACAGTTTGACAAAATTGTTAAGTGCAACATTGTAAGATGTTTTGTTATTTGTCATCCTGTGTTGACTCTGAGGGCAAACCTCAGTTATAAGACAGACTATAGCAATACATACCATACTGTAGTAGCATGTTGTGTGTTTTACACACACACCACAGGTAGCTGGATTGAGAATGAAACTGCAATGTGCAGATTGCTGGATGGTCATTTTGACAGCCAAAGTAATAGCCAATTCAGAGATGGATGACATACGAATTGGAGTTGTTCAAGCATGATGTTTCTTTTTTTTTTTCCTTCATAAGATGTAGAAGGAGAAGCAGATAGAGGCTGAGTGATTGTGTGTGTGAGCTTTTCTGTCCTCTGGTCTCCAGGTTGGTCTCCCCATCATCACAGGGGGATGTGGTTGCCGTGGCAGCACCACGTTGGCTCAACACGCTCAGTGCAGCCTCTGTTCCTTTTATTCCTGTCAGCCAACTGACTCACTCCTCCCAATAATGTATTCAAAGCAGTGTTTTTTACTGTTTGATGTTTGTTCTCTGTCCCTGTGGCTCATGCTGCTGTGAATAGGCTTTTAGAAAGCTGCAGTTTTTTTTATATTTTTGTGTTTCGGTTTGTCTCGTCTGCGCCAGGTGCCATCTTACGCTCAGTCTCAGAGTCACAGGCAGGTGTGCATCCTGTCAGTTGTCCTCCGTTTCGGCCGTCGGTGAGATAAATGTCATAGTAACAGTGTTTAGGTGAAAGCAGAGAGATGACAGGAATGTTAAATAGCACGTCTTTGTATGGTCGGCCTGTGTTTGTCAGTGTACGCTGTGCTGTGGGGCCACCTGTGTTTGTGTCTGAGATGCTGGACTGCCTTCGCGTGTGAGTGAATGAATATTTACAGAAAGAGGCTTGAATTTCACACAGGATTTAACAGATAAAAAAAAACCTCTGATGGTACAGCAAACATGGTGGCAGTAGAATAAAAAAATTAATGTGTCCATGTGAGGTTCAGAAAGTTCGTGTCCATCAGAACCGCCACTGGAATGCTCGTCTAAATGATGCTGTTGCTATAGTAACACATTGGTTTTCTGAGTCTCGTGCCAAATCAGCACTGATTTCCATAACATCGTTTGAGTGGCAGACATTGTGTAAGATCTTTTCTCTTCAAATTCTACGGCATTTCAGGCTCAGAGTCCAGTGTTCAAAGTGGCATTTATGAGGCTGCTCAGTCGTTCTCTTTCCTTTGACGCTGTTGGTTCAGTCAGAGCCGCTACGTTTGTCTCATCATCAGCGCTTTTATGTAGACTTGATGTTTGTCGACCTCTGGAACACGCGTCCGACTCTAGAGGGCATTAGCTGCTGGCTTTCCCCATTTCAGCTGACATGTCCTACCCATGACTAACGTGAGGGGTGGATGTAAGTGTTTGTTTTTAAAAAGTGTTAAGCTTTGTGTAATTAATTTCTGTTCAATGCTTTGAAAACACGGGGCTTTTCCACGGCAAGTAGTCAGTGACATTAATTAAAAACCTAAGCCTTGTTTGTCTGTCTTCAGCATAACCTGTAAATAGTTGTTTTAAAAAGAAAAAGAGAATATCTCTTGGACAAAATGCACTCTTGTTTCTCCAACTCAAAACCTTTATTTATTTAAACAGAAATTATAAAGATTGGAGAAATTATAGTGTACAAGGCTAGAGCCACCGTTGATCATTAACTTTGTGCGTGGGCAATGGCTGTATGGAGTATTAGCTAACTACACAATGAAACTGAAGCTGTCAAAAATGAGAGTCAGTGTCTAAAGACATCAATTAACACCTGATGCAAAACTAGGCTACAAAATTGAGAGTTTTATATCTTAAACAACACATGAGGGTTTACTAACCAATATAAGAAAAAGGCAAAAAAAGGTTTGAAAATGTTGTGTAGAGTTATAAATTGTAACAATATTTTAAATAAAGTTATATATTGGGAAAAAAAAAAAGAAAATCTGTCAGTCTGAATTTATTTACTCCCTCCAGGACATAAAATGAACCGTGAACTCATTTTCTTTATGTTGGCAGTAATTTGAATTTGCTTCCAGGGGGATTTTTACCAGCTGTTAAATGATAAAGCACTCAGGTTGTGTTTATCAATGTATGGATTCTCTTCCTTTCCAGTGGGACCTGGCCAATGTCAAGACTGTCCTCCTATAAAAGACATAAAGTGATAAAGCAACAGCAGGGCTCATCTGGGACCAATTAACTTATTGAAGGGAAAAAAAGAGTGTACTTAATAAGCTTTTAATGTCTTTAAGTTTGAATTTGTCAAAATGTTACAGCGATGCTGAATAAATTGCTTTTAATGAGCATTTCTTCTGTGAGTTTCCAAGAAAGGTGATGGCAGACTCTCATTCATGCAGTACTTTCATTCTCAAGGTCTCCTTTAACTGCCTGGTGTTTGGAGCAATATGTCCTGTAATTTGTGTGCGTGTGTGGGAGGCATTTATGCAAATATGGTTCATATTGAATCGCTGATGGTAAATTATAAGTTCAAAGCAAAATTGTTTGGCACAGAATAACTGAGTTAAGGAGCTGAATCTGATTTGACAGCCATTTTTGTTTTTCTCTCCAGCCTGCTAGATAAGAAGTGAAAGGAGGGCTGATCATGACAAGGAACAGATGTGACAGTTTCCTGGCAGGAAACATTTCAGTATGCCTTAATCCTCATTGATGAAGAGGAAAGCACAATGTCACAACTTTTTTGGAGCTAAACAAATGACAAAACAGACCAAAGAGAGACTTGCTTGAATAGAAGGCATTTTGCCGCGGTGTCTTCATACAGTATACAGTCCACTCTCTATTTAAAAATGCACATTTCCTGCCTAATAACAGCCCTAGGTCTGCAGCAAAGGAAGAAGTGCTGTACAGTACATAACAGGTCCCATGGCAGGGAGCACGGCTGCTAATAAAAGGTCCACAGGCACATTATTCTGGCAGAGGAAGGGGCACGGTGACATTTTGATGGTCACATGCTGTACAGATCTTTATGTTGTTCGCTGTGCTCAACAGGAGCTGTTGCAGTCTGTGAGGAGGTAGTGGGGAACTGAGGTGAGGCATTATTCAAACCAAAAACCCAGAGCCTCTTAATGCACCCCGTGGAACCAAGCCCATAAAATGTTGTGTGCACTGGCACTGCTGAGGTGAAAATACTCATCTCATTAGAGCTGTCTCACGTGGACAAGATATGCTGACTGCAGGCTGCCAACCGAACTTCACCACCTGCCCTCACTTTGCTTTTTTTGGTCCAACTCAGAGAGAAAGTATAATTTAAACTCATAATCTATAAGGTGTGACTTTTTGACTTATTGTTAATCCATATTAAGGCTAATAAACTGATACTAAAGCATAGTATTAATACTTAAAATAAGTATGTGTAGCCAACACTACACAACCATAACCAAAGCATTGCTACCTCTAACCCTAAGAATGAACATTGTCTTTTTTGTAAAATTCAACTGATGGTTTATATTAAGTTTATTATAGACTCTAATCATATCCAGTAAGCACAGATTTGTTGATTTGCAGGTCAAAATGTGTCCAAACATCTCAGTTAAACATGAGCTTAGCTTGGTTGAAAAGAAAGAGTTACAGATGACTCTTCTTTAAACCACATGTCTTTGACTATAGATACGTTTGTTGTTAAGATCTGCTTCACACTGAACTTAAAGGGAGGAAAAGGTGACTGATGAAGTATGAAAATATAGATGTCTAAACAGCTCCATTTTCCTTGTATGTAGCAAGGATTCATATACAGTGCCATCCCATTGCACAGTTTCTTTTTTATGGTGGAATCATGAATGCTGACCTCCTGGACGAGTCGCCGATACGATTTTGGAGGAATTTTGGTCGGCCGGCCACTCCTGTGAAGAGTCACCGCTGTTCCAGGTTCTCATCATTGGAGATAATCGCTCTCACTGTGGTTTGCTGGAGTCCCAGGGCCTTAGAAATTGCTTGGAAACTCTTTCCAGACTGACATATTTCAATATCTTTCTTTCTCATCTCTTCTGAAATTTACTTTTATCCCGGCACACTGTGCTACTTTGTTGAGACCATTTAGCCAACTTTCACATAGCCGGAGAGGTTCGATGATTAGATTCAACAGGGCTGCCAGTAATCAAGCCTGATTGTGTCAAATTCAATGATCAGGTCACTTTGGTTCATTGGTTAAGTGAGTAACTAAGACGGCAGTTACTTTTTCACTTTTTCCTTCAATAAATGAAATGATCGTTTATTGCTTTTTGTGTTTACTGAGGTTCTCTTTGTCTTAATTCAATGTTGGGATCTGAAACAAGTGATGGAAGAAAATCAGAAAGGGAGCAAATACTTTTTCACTTCACTATAAACATTGTTTAAACAGAATTTTATTATTCTACTACTGTTTTAGGACACGTAATTTATCTTTATGTTAAAAATTCCTGAAAAAGCCATTTTAATTAGTTTGTTTTTAAAATGTTTAGCTGCCTTTTGACATGCACATGACCAAATCAAGCCTTACTGGCATAGATTACTAAACAATTTTGTAGCGGAAAGTTATTCCCAATGAATAATAATAATAAAAAGAGTGAAACCAGGGAATCAACACCTAAAATGGATAAACAGCCACTGGTTGAATATGTTGTAGTAGTTAGGAGGAGGAGAAAGTGAGCCCCTCTTGTCCTATAATAATAAGAACACTCCTTCTGCATGGTTGACTGATTTTAACTGTCGGCTTGGAATAATGTCCTCAGACCCACAGAGTGGCTGCTTACCCAGTGGTCACACCTGAGGGAAAATGTGTTAAGTCCACTTAACGTCTACTTGTGTTGAGGCTTCAGTGAGAACAGTGTGGGAGTCTCTCCAACATGCCATTCTCAGTTTTACACAGAAAGCAGCTGTGGTGGTCTTCAGCTGTTGGATTTATTATTTTCTTGTGAGTTTATCCACCCTGCCAAGCAAATTGCTTCTTTTTTTTGTGCCCGTTCCATGTCTGCTTCTCAGAATAAAAAGGCTGGATCTGAAATCTCAAATTACTTGTATAATTATGTAATGTATAATTAAAAGCCCTAACAGTTTCAATTTAAGACTCTTAACACCCTTCATGCATAGAAAGTCCTGGATTATCCTTGTTTGTTTTTTCCCTCATTTCACTAAACCCCATTTGAGTTGCAGTGAGTTGCAACATTCTCCAGAGAGGGGCAACTAAAAGACTGGTTAGTTGTGTAAGATAGAAATATGTCCCAAAAACTGCAGGTTTAAATTCAATTCCATGCTTATTCTTGATTAAAAAGGAGAGTTTTAATATCTGCAGTAGTGTTAAATTACAGTACAAAGCACATTTATGCAGACTTTTCTTTCATTGTTTTGTTTTTTTAGTCACAGGTTTATCATATGTTTAACTGTAGCTCTGTAATGGAGAAGTGTCTAATAAATAGTGTCTGGGTAAGACTGCTTAATGATTCCAACTTCACTGCATTGTCGCACGCAGATTGATCACATGAGATTAAAAGCGTAAATAAACATCCCGGACATGACATTCATATTTGCACTCATTTTGATTGCATTTTTGGAATTAGGCACTACACCAATTTTACACATGAAGTTTAGTTTACTCATCCAGAGGAGTTCTGCTCAGCCTGTGTTGTTTAATGTCCCCTGTGGCTCTGAAAGGGAGTCTTCTGAAGAGATAACTGTGATGTCTCATTTTGGGCTTGGAGACATTTTTATCAACAGCATGTGTTACAAATTGGGGTTTCAGTGTTTAGGAGGCAAGAGGTCTGATGAAAGATGCTATGGAGTGCTATTTTAAGTTTTGATTTCAGTCTTTTCTGAGTCCCAGAATTGTATGAAAGTGAAATATTAGGCCGCTGAGTCCCCTTTAAAAAAATCAATGAACAGATGAGTCTTAGTTCATTATTCACAGTGCAAGCGACATAGATAAAACTTCATTGATTTCTTTGGATTGAAAAAAAGAGTAAAATTCTTTAGTAATTTAGAATTAGAATTTACACCTTTGCCAATGCTTTCAGGTCCCTGAGTAGATATTTGTTGAAAGGATTAACTAAGTTATTTGTAGCTTACCTTGACATGCTGGATGCATTCTATCCTAATATCTTCCACCAGTCAAGTAAGAAATCAAAACTCAGTCAATGTAGAATCAGAGTATAATAGTCACACAGCCAGTACTTTAGAGAGCAACCAGCCACCCTTGACTTATTGGTAAAGAGGCCTTTGTTCCTCAGGGCGGACACCTCGTGTCCACTTAACCTTGTGACCGTGGCGGCCCAGGCTGGTTAAACAGCGGTCTGTAAAGTGAATGAATGTGGCTTGGCAGGATTAATCAAGCCTAACGACACATCTGTAGGTAGGCTCGCTGGGAGGAGTGAGCATCAATCACCGTCTGGAGCATCTCTCTGCCCCTCTCTCTCTCTCTCTCTCTCTCTCTCTCTCTCTCTCTCTCTCTCTCTACTTCTCGTCAGCTGTATCGACCAGCGCTTTGGGCCCTTGGTAATTAAAAGGCATTGATCGGCTTCAGCCGCAAGATGTTGGGATGCGATCATGCAGCACAGCATACTGGGACCCTGAGAGAGAACAGGTGTGCATGCACATGGGCTGGTGCATCTGGGTGTGTGTTTCAACATGTATTTAATTAGTGTGTTGAGGAAATGTTAATGTGATATGGGAATGCTTTGTGCAATATCTCTGACTGTTAGTCTTTTTTCGAGGTTAACTCGTAGGCTTGCTGCTTCATTTGTATGCTTTGCAGTGATTGCATCTTTTTAGCTTACATATCGCCACCCCATTTACACAGTCATAGAGCTGTGCAAGGCCTAATGTGCTTCCAGTGAGCTTCAGTTGAGTTACCCACCTGGTAAAATATCTGAGGCCTGAGAAAAAAAGCTTTAGGTCGGCACACTCTTATTAAATGAGAATTGGGGGAGAAGAAAAAAAACAACAACTGATTGATCTATGCATACACAAACCCTGAGGCTCATCTTCCCCCATGGACACACACACACACACACACACAGTCTTCACACACACACACATTCTCTCTCTTCTTTTATTCCATCTGAGTGAACACAGTAAATCTAAGTGCTGCTAGATTGCTAGCGCTGCACATTTTTCACCCTCGGAGAGAAAGAGAGGTAGCCCGTCTAACAGGGAGCCTTGCTTGGGCTGAATAAGGACCAGTACACTACTATAAATACACCCCTGACTCTTTACTCAGTCTGACACACTGACTGAGTGACACAGTCAAGGCTACGCACAAACCACACACATTCCCCACACTTGATGGACATATACTTGCATGAAAATATGTTTCTAATTTCTGTTTATTTCTGTGGTGTATATTTTCCCTTGTGGTGTGATATACAGCAGTGGCCTTTCATTTGATGTCTGTGACTGAGTTATGCTTGTCTGAGCACCCATCTCCCCTGCCTCTGTCCCTCATAAATCCGATGAATTACCCCATATACCCCCCTCTTTCCTCCATTAACCCTCCCCTCCTCCTCCACCCATCCCAACCCTCCCCCCTCCCTCCCCCCTTCTCTCCTTCCTGAACGAGTGATCAATTAAGGCCCTGTCCAGCTCTCACTGCACGTCAGCACTTTCTCTCCTCCTCTCATCCCCTCGCTCTGTCATTTTTCTCCTCTTTTTGGGTGTCGGGCCAGCCACTGTCAACACGGAGAGATAGGGAGCAGACCAAAGGTGGTAGAAAAAAAAAGAGAACCCTTTATTTTCAGGATGAGAAATGCGCTGTACAGATGTGAGTGTTTAGTTGTCAGTATGTGCTGGAAGGAGGACATCCTTTTGCAAACCCCCAGGCAGGAAGTTTACTTTCCGCCTACTAGGAGACTTGACTTTAGAGAGGAAGAGAGAGGAGTCAGAAGATGAAGAGAGGTATAGAGATAAAGTGTTTGTACAACTTTGTCTACACTCTGTGTAGCAGGTCACAGTGGGAGAATGCATGGGTACAGCCATTAGAAACAGTGTAGGTCAGGAATGTAGTAAACATATTTGTCCTATTGGATCTTTGTGTTTTGGATAAAGCAGCCAATGTTCTATATTTTTCTTACTGTCATCAAATGCCATGAAATTATCAAAAACCAACAACACATGTATCCAACTAGCCTAAGTATTTCCTGTATAGCCAAAGCCTGATGTAGCGTATTCCTTATCCCACCATTGTTTTTCAAAATCTATTTAAACACATCAATGTATAAACTCGCTACAGCACAAAATGTGTATTAATCCACAGCTGAAAATAGTCCCTTAATGTTTGCTAAAAAACTAGTGCCCAGCTGACCTGTTTTTAAGGATTATGTCTTCATTGGGAACAAACGGGCATGTGGCTGTGTGCCACAGATACTGTAGGAAAGTACTGAGAGACATAACATGTTATAGCTTTAGGTTTTCTCATTGAAGTTGCTGACAATATAAAAAAATATAGAGTAACTCCAGCTTTATCCTTTAAAGTGTTGTTTGGTTTTTGAGGAATCTCTCCTACTGTAGTCAGGCAAACCGAGGGATAACTTCTTTATGTCTTACTTTCTTACAGTTTGAATGTATGGTTGAATATTAAGCTTAGTTTACTTTGCTCCATTCATGGTTATTAGCCACTCAAATTCAGGGGAACACACTTTATCCAGGGTTTAATACAAAAACAATTGTTTTCACTATGTGGGCTATGTAGGTGTGACAGAATAAACAATATTTATACTACTACTACGTTTTCACAAAAACATAAACATATTCTTGACATTTCTATATTTATTGTCAGTGGCTGTGAACCATAGCTTTGTAACACTATCTTGGAATCAGTGAATCATCGGGAGACTCACTGAACGGAGTTGTTAAAGGTGCACTTGCTGCTTGTTGCTGCTCTGATGCTTCAAGCTATTTTGACTCATCTTTTGCTTATAATCTTGGGCCGTGTCCAAAATCCCTCCCTCATTAACTCTTTCACTATTCCCTTTATTATAGACACTCAATAGTTTGCTCTATAGTAAGCAGTAAATTGAGATTTCAGACACTTATGAATCATCATCACTGACAGATATAGTGTCATAAAAAGGACATTTTTGCATGTGTAATATGTGACATTCAGCTGTGGTCATTTTTGAGGGCACTATTACTGCATAAATGTCACATTATCTAGTACACTATAGAGTACTATACAGTATATGCTCTATATAGTAAAACAGGAAGGGTTTTGGACGCAGCCCTAGAGCATTGGAGCATTGATATAATCTAATTGTTCTAAAACTTCTAATGCGTAATACAACTTGCAATTGGGTCAGATCAGACAGCCATCCTGAACCCATAGACATCCATGAACTGAGCTAGGCTTACCTTGCATTCAGCATACATTCAAACTGCTAACAGAGACACAAAAAAGTCATTTATGGTTGTCTGACTCTTGAGAAAGTAGTGGAAAAAGTTCAGTTCCCTCAAACCCAAACTAATTTAAGACGTATTCTGTTTATTGGCTAACGTTTTCTACACAAGCTCTCTGGCTGAAGGTCGTGCCTTAAATTTAAACCTTTTAAAGCACCACTTTAGCAACTGGAGTCAATTTCATCTCTATTAAAATCCCATTGCTCATTTTAGATAGATGTGAAACCACTCATGAAGCTGTAAACCCCTGAAGGGATCTGACAGAAATTTGATAGGGCGTTGCTTCTCCATATACATTTTAAGATTCTGAATGATCTTTTTTACTTTTTTTTTTTTTTTAAAGACCTGACCTCCCATTTCAGTTTTTAAACCTTTAATATGAAATCCAATGAGATCCGCTGGCCTAATAGGAACTGCCAGATACCATTAGGTAACTGCTTCATGAGTTATTACTGGCTCAAGCCTCCACTGTGGTGCAGCTACTGGCCACTGCGATATTGATGACCGGTTAATTCAGTTTCCCGGTTGTGATAAGCACTGCACACTGTGCCGGCTGCTGAGGGGCTTTTGATCTCTGCTGATTGTTGCAGATTGGAAATCGTCTCAAAGAGATAAGGCCTTGGCAATTTAAAGTGGTTTGCGAGTGGAGAGGGGGCTTCATATTTTAAAAGCTTATTAGTCTTAAAGATTATCCAAGGTCTTTCAATTTGACGGTCATTAGATGGATGTGATTGAATAATAGATGAGATCCTCGTCTGATCTTCTCTGCTGCAGCGTTCCTGATCTTTGGTCCAGTTTTGTATATCCAAGCATCAGGCTGCTTACTCCGCCGAACTCTGCCAAAGTCAGGAGGGATGAAGTCTCGTTCCTTCACCACCGCTCTTTGTTGTCTGTCCTTGTAAAAGTCTCTTTCTCTTCTCCCCGCCCTCTCCTCCTCACATCACTTTAAATGATGCAGTCTTTTCTCAACATGTGGGAGTGAAGGACTGTCTTCCCTCCTCGAGAAAATAAAACGGCCAAATGTCTCTCTTATTTATCTGTCCCTATCCAACGCCTGTCGCTTTTCCCCTTTTATTCTCTCAATCTCCCTCTTTGCTTTAAGAGCTATCTTACTTGAGGTTGCTTTGGGATGATAATCTTCTCTTTCTGACTCATCTTTCTTCTAATTTTTTTTGTGGGGGGAGTCTTTGAATTAACCACAAGAATCCATTCCACCTTGTCAAGAATCTGATAAAGCACCCTGCTCAGTCTAATCTCCTTTTAAGTTCACTCTGTATCCCCTTCCTCATCTGTTTTCTTCTTATATTTCAGTTACAAAACAGAATGTATTGCAAAGAAAACCATTTGGGTTTTTTTTCTATTTCCCAGTTCCTCGCAATCACAAATCACAAAGCCTACAGTCCGCTGGAAATTGTTTCCTTGGATCCGGGCCCACTCCATCCTTCATCTTATATTTAATTCCCCTCATCCTTTCCTTCACGCTTCTCCTCCTCTTTTTTTCCTTTGCTTTCAAACGAAGTCCTTTGAAATAGCCTCCACAAAGTTGGGAGCAGACATGAGGATGGAGATGGTGCATATGATGTTGAAAACGCTGAACGCCACCAGACACAGGCGGTCGATTACAGCGCCTGCAAATTTCCACTGGTCGGCCACGCTCTCGGCCTCGTCCTGCTCCCGGAAACGGTCTGCCATGTAACGCACTTCCTCCAGGATAGCCTGGAGCTGGGGGTCTCCTATTCCTGAACCAGAGAACCCTCCAAGCCCTCCGGGTCCAACTCCAAAGCCCCCACCACTGGAGACAGTGCTAGGGCAGCCTGTATCCATATTAGGGGTAGGAGGTGGGGGGGAGCTGCAGAACTGAGATGGCAGGTGCGGAGGCGGGCTTCCTGCTACTCTCGGAGGCCCTGTGGAGATGTTATTCCTCTGGACAGACTCAGAGAGCATTGAAGGGTCGTCCATGCTCTGGAAGCCCATGTAAAGAAGGTTCCCATTGTTGTTAGCACTTGACTGGACGTGGAGGTGAGGGTGCCCTGCGTGGAGGGGCCCTGTTTGGAGAGGAGCCAAGTTCTGTGGGTGCAGCGGATGAAGGGTGGGGTCCGGAGGGTTTGGGATGCTCCCGCTCTGGGAGCCCGAGGAGCAGCGGCGCAAGTGGGGGGCACACGGGGGCCGCTCTGGGTCGTCGTTCTCTCCTGGACGCTTCATTCTCAAGAACCAAGCTACCCACTGCAGTAAGACGAGCTGCACCTGTGGAGAGAAACAGGGGAAATCTGATGAAACGGGAGTGAAGAACAGAGTGAAAGGATATGAAGAAAGAAAAAGTATAACAAGAAAGCTGTAAGGCATTGAGAACAACCCACACATCTAGACCTTGACATAACATAAGTTAAAAGTCGAGTGAATAGCTTCATTTGTCGTGCATTGGATTGTTGCTGTTTCCAACCTTGCGTCTTGTTTCAAATGCAGCTGCACTTGTAAGTAGAAGTAGGAGGTTGTCACCAGGGACGCCCAGTTAAAGAGCCTGAGGCGAAGAAGATTTTTTAGCTTGGATTGTGATTCCAGCAGAGAGGATACTTAAAAAGACTGCATTAAATTTAAACTGTGGAATCATTGAGATCGACTATCAGATTACTGTTTCATGACTATAATGAGCTTGCAATAATGTTTCAGTAAGCTGCCGCATTAAAATAAAGAGAAAATGAGCTGCTTGCAAGTTGGTACAAATTTAAAACTTGTTTTTTTGACTCCCCTCTGCTCTCCTCTAGTCCCCGCTCCTTGTTTCCTCTGTTCTCCGCTACCGCAACATTAAAACAAAACTCCCTCGGAAAAAGACTACATGTCCCCTGAAAGGGCATATTGGCCCAACAGCATCCAGATGGGTGTCTGGCATCTAATGAGAAGCTAATGTCCAGATGACTGCTCAATTAGTCTCCACCGAGTGTGTTTACTGGCCAGGTAACAGTCCCTGTTGCTGCTGCTGTTGATGTTGTTTTTGTCCGGGGCTGCAATCATGAACTGTGCTGGTTCGATGCACTCATCTGAACCACATCAATTAACTCCTTAATTGGCCATTGGACTGTCTGAACAGGCCATTCATCAACAGAACGTCCTTGCAATGCATCAATATATACAGCATCTGCACTCTCATTCAACCGAGCTATTTTTACATATATTGATAAATGTAGTTTGTCAATTTTTCTCTGCAGTCAAAACGTAAATCCCGGAAAAAATATATCTTAAAATGCCAAACATATGTAACATGTTGAGTAATATCACAGAAATAATTAGAAAATGTTCCCATTTAGAAAGACTCATTTTCTTTACCACCATATTTTTGATATTAAAACAAAACTTTTGTAAAAAGCCTTGATGCATTTTTTAGCATTAAACAGAAGGAAAGAAAAATAAGAAGAGGGAATAAGAAGAGGGAATGAGTCAAATCAAATCCACCCACATATCCAGAGCACTTTGAAAAGCACTCCTGTGGAAGTCTGTGGCGAGGCATTTGATGAACACGCTCAGGCAGACTGACACTGCCGGATGAGTCACAGCAGAGGAAGTCGGAGAATGAAAAGAGAAAAGAAACTGGCAGAGAAGCACAGGTAGTGCTAACAGATAGATGAAATGTTACTGAAAATGGGAGAGCAGAAGTGATATTAATGCTGTAATAGAGATTAATAAAAGCAATAGCATACTGTAACTGAAATAGAGGAGACCAACCCTTTACAGGATTTAACAATCTGGAAAGCAGTATGTGACTGATGATACACTTGAGGTTATGATGAACAGTCTGAGCTCAGCCTCACCCATTTGGGCATGTTTCCTCCATTTGGATCGTGGTGATGATACTGCAGAACGACCACTGTGGCGATGACTGACATCCCAACGATGATCATTATACTGGCAAAGTACTGACCTGAGAGTAGAGTGTCCAGCAGTGTTATATTTCATTTTTCACACACTGTAATTTACTATTACCATTTCCTACAATGCAATCATAAAACACACTTTCATGTTATTCACCAATACCCTCACAACATGGAGGAAAACATTTTATTTCAGTGGTTATTTCACAGAAATGTGACCAAAAAATACTGAAGAATAACAGATTTGTAAGTATTCTTTTCTCTGTTTCTCTCCTGCTTTATTCAAAATGAACACATCCTTTGTTAAAATCTTTATGCCAACCAGAATACAGACACCACCAACTGAAGAGTGTGTTTGTAAAATCAATGAACATATCAAGACTCCACCAGGGTAGTTATTTTTACTAAAAAGAATCCTGCTGAAGGCAGCGCTCTGGTGATTATGAAGTTTTTAATGACCAGGATTTGTGTCTTTAGGCAAAGATGTCCATGCATCTGTCTCTGGCTGCAATCTCACCTCACTAAACATAATTTCCGGCAGTGTGCCCGCAATCAATTTAGCCAATTAAATTTTAAGGCAAACAGATGGCTAAAATAAATTCTGTTGTTCTGGGTTTTATACTTTGTCACTTAGTAGCTCTACGACTGCCTAGTAATATGTTCTAATAGTGTAGTTGTTTTTCTTTCTTTCTTACTTGGGAGAGAGGTGTGATATCTGGGACAAACTGTAAAGACCTCTGTGACTTTTAGCCGTGCTAGAGGCTATATGAATGTCAATGTTGGTTTTTTGTTCTACCCCTTTGGTTCAGACTAAAATATCTCAAAAAGTATTTAATGGATTGCCATATCTTTGGTGCCCAGGAGATGAATCCTAATTACTCTAGTGACATTTTCCATAGTTCCACCATGAGGTTGACATTTGTGGTTTTGAGTCTCAACAAGCATTGCCATGAAATGTGGTACAAATATTCAGGATGAATTATGATCATTTTGAGCCTTTTCATCTAGAACCATCATCAGGTCAAATAATCTGATAATCCAACGCTTTGGTTTATGACCAAATACCTGCAAAACTAATGTCAGTCCCATCAGCCTCAGTTGTACTTTGAGTTTAGTGCTGATTAGCACATTAGCATGCTAACACACTGACCTAGGATGATAAACATGGTATACCTGCTAAACATCAGCTTCTCAGCAATGTTACTGTGACCACATTAGCTTGCAGACATTCGCTCAAAGCCCCATTTTGTCAGCCTCACAGAGTCTTGGTGATATATAAATAAACCTGACTTGACTGTTAACCCCCAGAGCTCAACCAGCTACTTCCTACTGTACACCACTAGGAATTACTGCAGAGAAAGAGGTCAAACATTGATTATCACTGTCAGATGGAAAACTTGTTGCAGCATCTCTAACGAGTACATCTTGACTTCATATTGACAATCATTAAATGTTGTTATAGAAATGGGATTTAATTGGTTGTCAAGTTAAACAACTTGCTCAATAAAGACCACGTGAAACAACAACTCGTGAAAAACATACACACACTAACACTGTCTCTCACATACCTATCAGAGGGACGGAGTCAGACGTGGCTGGCATGATCTCTGCGACCAGCAACATGAAAACAGTCAGAGACAGCAAGACAGTGATACCTGTAGATAGATAGATAGATAGATAGATAGATAGATAGATAGATAGATAGATAGATAGATAGATAGATAGATAGATAGATAGATAGATAGATAGATAGATAGATAGATAAAGATTTTGTCTCCTGAGTAGTGCTCTCTTTTGACAAATTGCATCAGTGTGTTTGGTATTTTGATAAATGGTCACACTCGGGATGAGACCAGGTTTCGATTTATGTAAATGACCAGCTAATGCTCATCCAGTGAATTACATTTTGACATTCTGTACTTCTACAGCAAAAAAAAAAAAGCAATTCCGCACAGCAAATGGCCATTTTTTAAAGTTGTCCAAACTCCGCCAGCGTGCACGTGAACACACGCCCCATACACTCCTGCACTGCAAACTCATCTCCATCTTCATTTATCTACCTCCACGCTATCTGTCTCACTTCTCCAGCAGACAGAATTTAAGGAGTGCTTTGCTGGCATAACTGTCCCCATTCAGAAACATTCAATTAAACTCCCAGGCAGAGAGATAAAATATGAATGCCCTTTAAGGATATTAAGAAAATTAAAAATGCTACTTTAATGTTGCCTTTTTTTCTCAGGAATGACACTTATTCTTTTTAAAAGCAAGCTCCTCTAACCCTAAAGGCCCAGCCACTTGGTCCCCATGGCTCCTCCATCAAGCGGAGTGACAGAGTATTTTCCTGGAAGGCAGTGTGTAAGCTCTCTCCCCCTAATCAATTCACTAGCCTTAATTACATCAATAGGTTAATTGGCCGTGTGTGTAAAGCTTGGCATTTTTTTTCTGTGGAGAAATGCTGCGTAATGCATCCTGTATTGAGGTTAAGGATATGCTTTGACAATGCCGTCGTGGTTTCCTCCTGCGTTCCCTCCCACTCAGACATGAGTCAAAAAGGCAGAAGCATTTATCTAAATGCTTTGGTGTATTTGGTGAGTGGTCGGGCTGGGACGTCAGGAATAAGGCAGCAAAGAATATTTATTTATTCCATTTATTTGAAGATTATTCAGTTAATTTTTAAATTTTTTCCAACAGTCTAAAACCCAGAGATATTTCTATTTACATAAAACAGGAAAGAGCACAAAAACCTCTTATTTGAGAAAATTGAAGCAGAAAATTTGGCCTTTTTGCTTCATAAACGTCTAAAACAGATAAATTATTATCAAAACATGATTTATTCTGCTGACCGACTATTCGACCAATTGACTTATCCTTTTAGCTTTAGTCATACATTTGATGAGGGCATTCAACTTAAACAGATATTAAAATGTATTTGCAGCACAGCCTTCCAGCCTATTATAGTGTGATTTGGTTGTCTCCCACTTTTCCTCCTCATCTGTCCTCCCTCTCTCTTTTGTGCTGTCCCCTCTCATCCTTTTCGAATCCGTCTCCTGTCGGTGTTCCCTTTTCGTTACCCTTCCCACACACATCCATCTCCGATCCTCCTCCTTGCATTTTTCATCTTTCTATTTCATCCTGTAATCCCTCTCCTCTCTCAGCTCCACACCTTCTCCCTGTGCCTCTTTCATCCCACCCCATAGTCCTCAGTGACACTTCTTTTTTCTCCCCTTTATTCTAGGAAGGTTTGCTTGTTGTGAATGCTCAGTAGGTTGGATGTTGAGCGAAGGGAGTGTTGTTGCCTTTTCAATGCAGATTTTCCATTCCTGGTCCGTGATGGAAATCCACCAGAATGGAAGCACGTTGCACAACTCTTCTATTCTTCTCATGTTTTATTCACTTCACCAAACTTCTGAGGTTGTTTTCAGTTTCCCTTCTGACAGTCATGTGACTTATATGAAGTAAATCACCATATATATTAAGCATATACAGCTCTTCATCTTTTGTTAAAAATACTTTATACAGAATACCATTCTAATTTATATACGTTTGTATGTTCGAGTTTGTGTATCAAGTCACTTAAGTGTTGTACCTTTGAGGGTGAATATGGTATTTTGTAGAATGTTTTTTACTTAAAAAATTAGGATAATGTTGTTTTGTATACCTGGTAGTTAAAGCCAAGTCAAATAAACCAACCAATGAACTTTATATAAGGAAACTGGAAATAGCGTCAGACACCACCAGATAGACAATTGGCCTGCACCTTACTGTGTGTGCGTTCCCCTTGCATTAAACTAACAAGCCATCTTTTCCCACTTCCTGTGTCTTGTTGCCCCACTGCCACTGCCTCCTTGTTCTTTTCGATCCACTCACCCAGTGAGATCTTCTCCCCAGAGTCAGCTGGTAGCACAAAGATGAGTAGGGTCATCGAAGACAGCAGCACACAGGGGATGAGCAGGTTCAGGGCATAGTAGAGCGTCCGTCGACGTATTGTCACCACAAATGTCACATCCGGATAAGGCTCCTTGCAGCAATCATAGAAGGCCTCGTTTCTGTTGCCGGGAACCCCTGGAAGAATAAGTACAGAGAGATATTGGCTCTGCTGCTCTGTGACTGGACGTTTTCAATTAGCATAAAACGCAAAGGTTTCACCTTACTCACCAATTAAGTCCCACTCCCCATTGGGCATGTAGCCTGAGATGTCAGCATCGTTCATTTGGAGGTCCAGCAGCCATCCGTCATACGTCCAAGAGCCGAACTTCAGCTCACACCTCTGGATGTCAAAAGGGAACCAGCGAACATCCACGTTGCATGTGCTCATAAAGATTCCTGAGAAGGACACAAAAGATGACAAATGAACAGGAGGCAGTGAATTAAAGCTCCTCAATCAATTCACTAAATGACAACAGTGACCTCGGCTGTTTTCTGTACAGAAGTGACAAGGGAAAGATGTATCAGAGGACCACTTGTGTTGTGCAGAAAGCCTGTTCTGAATAACAAGTTGCTTGTCAGAAAGATTCTTTCATTCATTTCATATCCAGCCAGCTCTAAAGAGCTCTTTACTCAACCCCCTTGCATATACTTTTTTATACAGAAATGGTGTGAGAAATGCTGCACCACAACCAAGTGCACACTGCAATAGGGTTTTTATTAACGTTGTGCAAGTCTACAGAGAGTTTACTGGTATGAAATTGAGTTGGGAGGCTGGAGAGGTGAAAGCAAAGACTAGATTAGGAACAATCTCCCATCAAAGAAATGTTTGTAAAAAACGCCTGGCAGCAGTATTGTCAGTCACGGTTTCAGATATTCAAGCAAACAAATGCTGTTTCTGCGCTCTCCCTGCACACACAGCTGTTAGCTAGGCCTCGGCAATAGAAGGGAAACATCAACAGAGACACTGAAAAATGAGATTGTGCACAGTGGCCTAATCAGATTACCACCTTTATTATGCAAAATAAACACACTCATATGCATATGCATCGGCACGCCCAGGCACAAAATCATAAGGACACACTTGGTATCCTCCCACACAAACGAAGAATCACAATGATCGTCGCAGTGGTCGCTGGCAAACTCAGAGCCTTAAAGTGATTAGTGAAATAAACGAATCAAGCCTGTTTAGACGTTCATACGCACACAGAACCAAAATGCCAATGAAGCCTCGCAGCCCTCAAAGACATTCATTATGAGGATGTCGACATGCAAATCAGCCTTCAGAGAGGAATGAAAGCAGAGTTTAGAGAAGTGTAAAGAGGTTAGCAGGTTGAACGCTGGTTTCAAAGCAGAGGTTGAACACGAAATGACACAAAATTAAGTAGTAGTCATACCTTTTTTTTCTCTTTATAAACTCCCTGCTCAAATCAAGTTACTGACATTAAAGTTCTTGCAACTGGCTGCCTTTGCTTCATATAATTACTCCCATTAAATTACACTGATTATGTAAAAGTAGATGCCTTTTCAGGCTACTGATCTGTGCACCTTCATGCATAGTATATTTCTGTAACCTGCTTCTCACAGACATCCAGTAACCTTGAAGCACTCACAAATAAGACACCTGGATTCTTCTGCTGCCTGGAACAATCTCTCTCCCTCCCGCAGCACAGATCCCAAAATAAAACTCCATCATCATTCTGAAAATCCCTTCCCAAAAAGGCATTACCAGGCCCAGAGACAAGATTTCCTCCTTGCAAATGTCACCCAATCAAGATATGTGCTAAAAACCTGTTACACCTTATGTGCTGTTTACCATTAAACCCAAACACAACACCTTTACCTCTGCAGTTACAAGAGGTATTCTTCAAATTATGGTGTGCAGCAGACACCTGGGATCCTACGCCTTTGAATTATTTACTGTGCGTCAAGCTCCTGTTCCATGCCTGCCACCCACAGACCTGTTGCCTTTTATTTACTGACAATAACAGCTCAAAAAGACCTCCAGAATCGCAACCGGGCTTGTGTGAGGGAGTCAAAAAAGCAGGGTTGCTGCTCTACTGCTTCATTTTTCCATTTACTCTCTGTCCTGATCTCTTTCTGATCACGTTTTGTGGTAAAAACCTCTCCTCCTCCTCCGCATTATCTTTTTATTCTTTTCCCTAATTGGCTCAGGTCCAAATTGCGGCATTAAGGAGAGTTATTTACATTCAGCAGCAGCCTATTAATAAACATGGCCACTGAATAGAATTGATAGGGTGGCTTTCTGATCTTTTACTTTGACTTTTACTTCAGAAGGCTATTTCAACTCAACGCCTCCTTTAACACCAGGGATTTAGTCCGCTGTAATCTGGTGTATAAAGAAACGACTGAGAAAAGCCAAAGTAAAGACCTGTGTAAACCCAGGGGAGCCGTTACTTTCGCAGGCTTGCACAGGTCTTGCGTTTGGGTTTAGACAGGAAACGAAGGAAGCTAACATCTCCTATTTATAGGTGTTACTCATAGCTCTGGGAACGTCTCACCAGTGAGTAACCAGGGATGCTGTTTCATACTAATAAAATATTAATGTCAAGTGTACAAACAGGGGAGACATGCAGAGATTGCAGAATGAGATGCTGCCGTTGCACCGCAGGGACATGAGGAAGTGATAGGAAAATGAGAAAGGGATGAACAATAATGAGAGCATGAAGGGGGGAAAAAAAGACTCACCTGGGGGCAGGTACTCGGCGTAGCCACTGGAGTTCACCAGAACATTGGTCTTAAAGGTGGAGTCAAAGTCGTCATCTGCACTGAGGAAGGACAGATGGGGAAGTGACACTACTTGTGGAAATATAATGTGTGCGTACGAGGTGTGTGTTAAGACGTTTATGCGTGTTTTACCTGTTGTAGAGCAGGATGTCTGGGGTCCAGACCTGATCTGTGGTGAAGCGTAGGTTTTTCACTCCAGGATGTTCGCTCTGGTTCCACTGGAGATAATGGTCGAACCAACTCTTAAACACACAGACAGATACAGTCCTTATCCTGGTGGACTAACAGGCAAGCTGCTTTATCTCCAGTCTCCTCTGCTGTTCAGAGTATACTTCAAACAAAACTTTACTTTTGTGTATTTATTTAGGCTACTGACAAAAAAGGTGAATTATTTCTGAGAAACAACTTTACTTTTTTCTGAATTTTAAAGGTCTTATCATGGGATTCACAGAGTGTAGGTCATCGCCTTAATTTACATGTCAAAGACCATGTAAACTAGTTTGAATAAAAATCACCTCAACCCATAACAGCAGCACATTTATTATCGCCCCAAGCATTCAGAGTCTCCAAGGGGTCCTTACCATCCGTAGCCATATGTTAGTGGTGAGCACCTGGTTCTTCTCATCCTGCAAAACATTTCAAACATCTTTAGCACTTCTATTTTCTTAAAAATCAGTTGCTGTGTAAATCATGAGGGAATAGCTGAATATTATTGTGCAGCCTTACTAAAGTTTACAGAGGTTATTATCTTAATTTTTACCTTTAAAGCCAAAACTATTTTTAAAAAGCCTGCTGTTATCACCATTATCATTATTAATATCACAGAATGCCTGACTAGGCCCCAAATGAATATTTTAATTTTCTTTTTTTTGTTTCCAAATTAAATAACAAAACAAACTAGAGGCTGCAAATGCTTTTTGCTCTCCGAGAAAACAAGCTTCTTTACAGATTCATTATAAACGTCATCATTTAATATTTTAATATTAGAAATATTTTTTCTCACACTCTTAATTCAGCCAACTGGTGAATGAGGTTGAGAACAACTGTGCCTGCGGACACCTACCACGTCCATGATCTGGATCAAACTGAGGGAGAAGACAACGGTGAGAGGGTGGGAGTCGTTCCCCACCGGCCGCTCCATCCGGTTGTAGTCTTTCAGGAGGTTCTTCAATAGGTTCCTCTGGTGAGGACCCTGCAACGACACTGGAGAGGCAGAAAAATATCATATAAACCTGATAAAATGTTCACCTGCCAGCTCCACACTCCATAATAAAAACCTCTGTTTTGTTAAAGTCTGTGTCACCCAGAGAGCCCTTAATGACAGAATAAGTCTGTGTCTCTTGTGAGGTGAATAAAAAGAACACCAGGCTTCAAGGAAAACCTCCAATAAAAATCTCACTAGGGAATCAAATGAGACTTTGTGGTGGGAGTACGGTCAAGCAGGGAAGAGTAAAAAGAAAATCAGAAGATCAGCTGATCCAATCAGGAGAATCAGACTAAAAAGCAAAGAGATAGAGGAAAATGAGATTTAATGATGAAACTAGCAGAAATAAAAACGGATCTTTTATCACCATTAGTCACACTTACACAGACTTTTATGGTTTAAACCTTACAAATGAAATATGAAGAGGTCCAGCTCCTCAGTCAGAATAAAATATATAACATTAATGTTAAAAAATACTGCAGGAAATCACCAAACAGGAGAAAGATTCAGAGGGAGCGTGCAGAATAGTCAGTAAACAAATAGTAATCTAATTAGAAATAGCAGGAAAACCCTATTAAGGGATAATTGGCACTAATGAATGTATAATTAGTTTACTTTGAAATGCTCAGAGTAATACAAATGTAATTTTGAGTCGAGATGTTTACGGACTTTAGAAGCAAATTGAATGGACTTAGAGGGAGTGTAAGGTGACTTTACCCTACAAACAGTGAAAACCAATTTAAATTGTAAAGGATGTCGTGTTACTGTGGCTTAGTGGTTCTATCAGAACACAGACGAGCTTCATTCAAACTCATAGATTCTGTCTTAGTGTCTAGGGTATTTCCCACAGATGCAATAGTGAAGCAATTAAAAAAATGAGGTCTTGGATTTGAAAATATCACTCAGTCTGGTGTTATATAATCTCAGTAAAGTGCTGGAGAAGCAGACACAGAACATATGAGACACAGTCGAAACAGTATGGAGAAATTGTTTTTCTCCTGACTTTAAAGCTCGTTCTATCTTTGGCGTGTTAGAGAGATGAAAAAGTCCTGGATGTTTCCTTAAATCTAGTGTTTTTAAAATTCAGTCTGAAACTTTTGCCTCATCTGTCCTCTTGACTTTTATTTTCCTGGACTTCTAAAGCATCTTCTTCAAAACACAAACAAACAGAAACACATTTCACTGCTGGTACTTCTTCTGCCTGTGGGGATAAGTTCACCCACTCTCCTCTCGGCTCTGTCATCCACTGTCAAGCCTTTATATTCAGCTACGACTTCTGCTGCTCGGAGCCCCATCAGCTCGGATGCAGTAACACGTCCACAACAGGGCGACAAGAAGGAAGAGCCAATCTATATGTGCAGCTCAATTGATCTGTGACCTGTTTTCTGTGTGTGTGTGTGTGTGTGGGGGGGGTTAAAGATCCCCTGACAGATTTGGACATAAAAAGGGGCTTGTGGAATGAGGAGAGAAAAGCAATGAGATGTTATGACTGCTCAGATTTATCTACACGCTGTCTCTGTCATCTGACTCACTGCACAGACTAGATGTCAATCTGTCTGTTTAAAGCATCGCATGTAGAGGCATCCAACCCCCCCTCAGGTCAACTCAGCAGTGTATCCGGTAAAATAAGAACACAGTTGCGAAAAGATGTAAACAAGCAAGCAAACAGGTGAGACAGATTCTCACTTTTTCGTCTTTTTTTTTCTACTTTGAATTCTTATTCCAGTCTACACTTCACCGATCAAGCATCAACACCACCGACTCCAATTTCTGAATTCCTATAAAATCCCACACTTTGCGACTAAAGTGCCGCTGCTGCAATCTAATTCCTGAAAACAGAATTAAAGACAGAGAGAGGGAGAGAGAGGGAGAGAAAGGCAAGCAGGCTCACCGTGGATCAAAGCAGAGAATCCAGAGAGGAGAAGAGCCACCGAGTGCCACATCCTGGTGGTAAGGAGCAGGAGAAAAGAGGTGGCAGAAGAGGAGAAGCTCCGGGTGTTGAAGGAGGAGGAGGAGGAGGAAGAGGAGGGTAGGGAGGAGAGGGAAGACCGACTCAGGAAGCTGCTGGAAATCGCCTGGTCTGCATCCAGTCGGCATCAGAGGGAAGGAGTGTGAGCGTGTGCTGGGAGAGAAAGGGAGCTGAGAGGAAGAGGAGGAAGGAGAGAGGAGGAGGAGGAGATGGTGGCTGTGAGCCTCTCTCTCTCTCTCTCTCTCTCTCTCTCTCTCTCTGGGAGGTAGGACTAAAATGGAGAGCACAAGAGAGAAAAATGTCAGTGATGGGGGGTGAAAGGGCTGAAGATGGAGCAGGAGGTGGAGGAAGGAGAGGTTGTAATTGGTCTGTCGCCATGAGTTGACCTTATTAAAGACAACAGAAACAGATGATGCACATGATTTTAAATGATCTGAGGGAGAACTGATTGAAAAAATGTTAAATGTGAAAGGAAATCCATACAGTCAAAAAGTGGAAAAGTCTTCCAAAGAGGTCAGTGCAGGGGAAGAAAACAGACACTAAGAGTCAAAGGGAACACAGAAACCTGAAGTAGCTGGAAATCCCATCCTGTTATTGTTCATTTTGCCTTTTAGTGTCTGTTTTTGTGCACAAATTGAGCAAAATATTGTGGGGGGGAAAAAATCACTCTGCATTTAATGTCTCCCTTCCTTTTGTGAAAAGGAAAACTGTAAAAGATAAATGACTATTTAAAGCCTTCACACTTCATTGTGTGTGTAATGGCTGGTGTGTAGCACGACATGTGTCAAAAATATATGCACAGCTGGTTACACGTATGATAACACACGACAGCAGTTACGCTCAGGCAACTGCTAGACTGCAACTGTGTGTGTGTGAGAGAGCTGCCCCCCTGCTCAACGGGGGTTGAGCTTTGAATCATGGGGGCAGATGGACTCCAGTTTAATTGAGAAAGTGCTGGGCTCTGCAGGAGGGCATCGGGAATGTGCATAGTTAAACTCTACTTCTCATTTGTCCTCACGAAATGCTGATGCAAGGGCAGAGGCAGCGAGAAACCGTAAGACTGAGGGAGAGGGAGATTGAGGAGGGGAGGAGGGGAAGGGGGGAAGCAAGAGAGGAGGAAGAAAGAGTTGGACTGTATAATAGATTACCCTATTACTTCTACTGCCCTTCGGAATTACCCCTCTCCTAGGCAGCCTGTCACACATCCAGAGCGCACCAGAGCTACAGATTCATGCTCGGCTGCACACAGAGGATGGAGAGTGGCCCTCGGAGGCAAAAAGAAGGATGGCTAAGTCACCGGTTAAACCAGACAAAACTGCACCAGGCATGGAGCGAGGACACACAGTGTGCCTCAGCAATGTATCATCAGAGGAGAAGCGTCCTGTTGCTGCTGCTGCTGCTGCATCCCTGCAATATTGCTGCTTAAATGTGTGAGAAATTGACTTTGAGTTCATCTTGTGGAAGGAAAAAAAAAAAAAAAAAGCTTCTTTAGCTGTTATGCACCAAGCACCAGTGTGACACAGTGCCAAAAACAAAAATTCATTACGCTTCATAAAAACACAGATTGGAGGCACTGAGGCGTGGGTGACATCTGGTGGTTTGTTTTCCAACTGCATGCTGGCTGGAGCTCAGCAACACTGGCAGGAGTTTCTTCTTTTTTTTTGAGTGAGGTGACGGTGTTAATTAACGAGGAAGAAACTGAGCTAAATGAAACGAGAAGATGATGAGAGCCAATGCTATAAAGAGAAGGCTAATTAGGAAACAATACAGGCAGATGAATGAAAACACTGAGCAGAGTGTGGAATAGAGCCATATCAATGATGAGGATAGTTGGAGGAAGAGAAAGAGGATTATGAACATCATGTGGACAATAACATGGTGCTAATGGTGCCACAGATCACTCTCTGCATAATAATTTTGTTGATCCTGATTGTGGTTGTAATTGCGCAGCAGTGGTGGCCATCGCTCTGACCTGGCATGACTACAGCTCATCCCTCTCTGTGCTAAATGCTGAATGCCGCCCCTCACAATGCAGCCATCAGCCATTAGGGCTGCTGTGCTGTGTTTTTTTAATTACTCTGCTGATTGGATTAGGCCCTCTCCTACGCTGACACGTCCCCTCCACTTAATAGGGTGTTATCGACAAAGCCAGCACATACATCCACTCGCCTGTGACGTCTGATTTGTCAGAGTGGCCTTTTTTTTTTGTCTTGAATTGAGTCGAGTAGATGAAGTTCTCTTCTAACACACAATTATATCCTGCCCCAGCAAGCCCTGGAGCAAGCTGGACAAAAGCTGGACTGTTATCTAATAAAATTTTATGGTGTGAAATCTTAAAAGAGTATTGCACTGATTTAGCGTGAGCACATAAATAAGATTGTCAGACAGTTGACAGTGAGGCAGAACCAGATATACTGTCTGTTTTATTCCACATATTCCTCTTGTCGCTTACCCACAATGCAATTTAACTTGGGCAGAGATTTGGTTGTGTTATGCTAGTGGCGGTAAATGTAACTAGCCACTAGCTCTCGTCTACACTGACTATGAAGCTGCAGCCAGGAGTCACTTAGCTTAGCTTAGCATAAAGATTTTGTTCAGGTTTTGTTCAGATTACACAATTGGCCTACCAACACCTTTAAAGCTCATTACGTCTCATGCATTGTTTGTTTAATCCATACCTAAGTTGTGGTTTTACACTGGGTCATGGGTCAGACTATTTCTTGTGTTAATCAGCTAGCTGTTTCCCCCTGTTTCAAGTCTTTATGCTAAGCTAAGCTAACCATTTATTGGTTGCAGCTTTAAATGAGGAATTACACTTGAAGCCATTTAAAAATTTAATTATATTTAGTTTCTATTAACAGGATTTCTTTGAGAACTGTTGGAAATGTTCTTGGATGGATGCATAAGTTCAAATGCTGATGGACTTAACAGTTATAACAATAACTAACATTAAGTACTAACAATAACTAACAATAACAATAACAGTTACTCTTAAAGGTCATGGAGGTGCTTTTAAAGAGTCTGAATAATGTAGTTGAAAGAATACAGGATTTGTTTATGTATAGTGAGAAAGGGATATTCAACCATTTTACCCATTTATAGGTCAACAAATGTATTTGTAAGAGAATATTGTGAGTGTAATGTTTTATTCTATATCGACATTTTTCTTGCAATTTTCTCTTTGATATATTCTCTAAAGATATCTGATGAATAATATCTTTGAAGAAAAGAATGACTGTAATGTACTGACACATCAATGTATGGTAAGAAACAGGAAACAGCCACAGAAACCACAGTGACTTCCACCAAAGCTTACCTCTGCACCTCGCTGTGTGTGAAGTCAGAAATTGTAGCTTTGGGGCGCCCGGTTAGCTCAGTGGGTAGAGCTGGCAACCCATGTACCGAGGCTGAGTCCTTGCTGCAGCGGCCCAGGGTTCAAATCCGACCTGCAGCCCTTTGCTGCATGTCATCCCCTCTCTCTCTGCCCCCATTTCCTGTCTGTCTTCAGCTGTCCTATCAAAAAATAAAGGCAATAAAAGCACAAAAAAAAAAACATTAAAAGAAATTGTAGCTTTGTATTTAACAGCTCCAGTTTGTGCCTCTCGTGTATAATCATTACATGTGAACGACAGAGCTCAGCATCTGATTTTTTTTTTTAAAAATACCATGCAATCTTTTCAAAACCGGAAAGGTAATTAGACAAAACGTACCACTGTTATCAAGTTAGAATACTCTCATCTCAATTAGAAAATCCTGTTTGTTGCACAATTATAAAGATTATTAACCTGTTTCCCAAGTTGTGACTTAGTCTCAGTAGCCTGATATTTCTTTGCTTAATTAATACAACATGGACCAAAATGTAACAAATATATTATCTGCTATATTTGTATATTATTTCTATATAGATGTTATTTTGTATTTTCATTACAATAATAGCTCTGTCACTCTAATGTAATGGTAATGCATTAGGGGCTAAAACAGACAGATATGAGAGCGGGGTATCAATTGTCTCATCTATCTCTATGCATAAAACAAATAAGCATATTTCCAGAAATGTCAGACTATTCCATTAACCCTAACAGTGACCTTTGACCGTTAAAACACAAAGATTACTTACTGCTGTTTGCATCCTAATGAACCTCTTTATCTTTTGATCTGTGCAGATTGAAACGATTAATATCCTGACCAGAAGATGAACTGGCACTCGCTAAAGATTGAGAGCATAGAGCAGATTTGCCATTTACCAGCCACAGCAATTAGTGGACTCAAAATATCTCCGTTTAATTTCACTTTCTTAGCAGCCAAAGGATGATTTGCAATAGAAGAGACTAATTGAAGATATGCTGGCTAACGGCCACAGTGGAAAGACGAATTGACATACTTAGCTACCAGCTACAGCAGTCAAGATTTACAAGCACTTGGCTGGAGGCTTGAATTAATTTGAAGCCTTGCAGATGTGCATATATCCTTTTAGCATCTTGTTATTAAAAGGACAACATAATTTAAGGACATTTGTAGTCTCTACCACCACAGCAGTCTTGCTCCAGTATTGCTCTACCTCAGCAAACTAAATAGTCATATTTTAGAATCCAGTTCTCTGCAAAGAAGTGTGATACTGTCTGTATTTACCATCTGCAAGGGTTGAGTGTTGACAGTCATGCACTGAGGCACAGACAGTTGGGAGCTCCCTGCCTGCAGAATATCAAAACAAAAATATCCAGACAGCAGCATCTGGCTAAGTCTCAGAGAAGAGTACTTTTAGCAAAATTAATCTATTTTACATCTGGAGGGATGTCTGAAGAAGTAAAACTCAGACTGTCTGATCAGACTATGTTTATGCTTTCCCACCTGTGCACTCACCAACCTCCTTTTGCCTCTATCTATCTTTTAATACATGTTGTCTTCAGATTAGATAATGCCTTCCTTTATCCTGCTACTATCCGGATGCTCTCCGCCCACCGTTTGCTCCTTAGCTCTCCATTTGGAGAGAGCTCTATTATCTGTAGACCCATCTGTCACACGGCTTTAGATAAATAAATGATGCTGAATGTCATTGTCATGACTTCAATGCTTAATACTCCACCCTGCTCGGTGCATATTGTTCGGTTAAGGGGTGACATATTTGATATTTCATAAGCCCATAAGTATCAGATCTCTGTCTGACTTGATTAATCTGCAATACTAATCTGCTGACCTGATATTGAGGAGCATTATTCCGTTCTGAAGATTAGATTTATTTAAAAAACAACTTTGTGTTACTAACTTGGAATTTACCCCTGACAGTAATGACGTCCATTCATGAAATTACAAATGAAAAGTGATATAATATCCTTTCTTTTAAGACTATGAGAAACACTTTGGCCTGATTTTGGACACCAGGGCACCCATGTATAAGCAGATGTCCCCACAGGGAGGTGGAAATCTGCCAATCCCGGGTAAAACTCTGACAGATGACTCCTTCTTTGCTTTTGCTCCATGCAACATCTGCAACTTAGAGTCTTTGCTGTCATTAAGCCCCTCCAGCTTTAAGGAAGATGCGCTGATGGTGGACAATCGTAAAGCAGGAAACACGCCCAAACAAGGGAATAAATGCCTGAACACATAATGGATATCCATGCGTATTTGCCTCATATGTCGTCATATGGAGGAGTTCATAAGCTCTGCATGAATCTATGGGAGGGGCTCTGTGATGCTGGGGCTGCTAATAGATTGCCGGAAAGTTTATACATGCAGAGCTGGGACCTTTGGAATATTTTGAGCTGATCGCACTGGAGTTCATTGGAGTTGCAGCTTGATTTTTTTAATCACAGTTTAACTCATTTCAAATGTCTTCTCAATGAAAGTGGTGCATCTGAGTCCAGTTTGTAGCAGGATTTTATCTGGAGGATCTCTTTGTGATTCAGGCAGATGTGACCTTCAGAACCGTAAGAAGACTGAAGACTATAATACTTGGGGAAATTACCAGAGAAAGCAGTTGTCTAGTAGACTGGAAACCCTGAATGAAAAGGTAAGAATAAAAAAAGAGCTGTGTGGAAATCAGCCCACAGAGAAAAGATTTCCATCAAGTGAAGTTTGTGACTAAATCTATAACGTATTAAAACAAACATTTGTGATTGTAGAATTATTGCAAGAGGTTATTTTGTTGCTCTTTACATGTTTCCTTTTAAAATCATATGATTTACGGATAAATATAAAAGGGGTGCAGTTAAAAATAAAAATGAGCATGAGCAAACTTAACGGATGTAAAAAGTTTAGGGAGAAAATTGTTTGGAGGCAGCTCTGTATACTTGATGAACATCCATGTTAAATTGATGCTTTATAACATAGCAGTGTGTATTTTCTCCTTTGAACAAATTTAATTTGGAATTAAGGGTGCGGTTATATAAGTTATCTTTTCTCTGGTTGTAGTATTAAAACACTGAAGGACATTATGAGAAATCTGCTGATATGAACTAAAAGACGTCATAGTTTACTCACAGGTTAGAGACCCCTGTACTAATGGGTGACACCACAGTGTTGTTTAACTGCCTTGTCTAATATTGTCCTCTGTCCCTCTCTCGCCTTCTCTGTTCTTAAAAAGAAACCCTCTCACCATGGAGCACTCCCCGTCTATGAACTTGTCAGTGGTGAGTGGAGATGAGGTGGAGGACCAGCGCCCCCTCCTCCCCCCCAGGATGGTCCCTCCACCTCAGGCCTGCCCTCCGCATTGTGGGATACACCAAAACCTCCAAACGTCGGCCGATCAGACCGTGTGGCTGGACAGAACCCAGGCCATGGCCACCACGCCTCTATACAACGGCCACCTTTATGTCACGCCTTCACCTCGCTCCCACCGGAGGGGAGACAAAGGCAAAGAGAAGAAATGTGAGAAAAGGTCAGGGGGGAGTAGACAAAATCAAGCACGAAAGGAGCGGAATCAGCAGTGCAAAGGCAGAAATGCAGGACCTGACAGACTCCAGGAGAGAGTCACCTCTTTTACTGACATCCCCGTGTCTCCCTGCGGGTCACCCTTTAAGAGTCCCCGCAGGTCACACTTAGAGGTCAAGGATACCGAGGGCAGAGGGCGCCGCAAGTCAGGCAACGTTTCTTTGGAGATGCACGACCGCCTGAGCCTCCCAGAGATCATCATCACCAGCAGAGATGACGACCTCCAGCAACACAATGAGACGTCCGAGTACCACCAGGAGGCCAAAGGCCTTCTGCCAGGAGCCGAGTGTCCCAGTTCAAGCCCCAGTCCCGGTCCCCACCTCAGCCCAAAACACAAGGTGGATGCCAAGGACGACACGTACCGGAAGACCCACAACATCGGCTGGCGGCTGGTCCACAGGAGGGCTCTGTTTTTGAAGAGGCAGCAGCTGAACGACTGCGCCCTAGCAGTGGGATTGTTCGGGGTAGTGCTGATGGTGATGGAGACAGAGCTCTCCTGGAGCATCTACAGCAAGGTCAGAAAATGAGGAGAAAAACCAGACCCTGACAAACCCCTTGAGAAATGTGAACGTAATTATAATGGGCTGTACAATTTTTGCAAGAGTAAAAGTCACACTGCTCAAGCCTTACTGCCTGAAAAATCCCATTTTGAGGAACAGCATAGCAAACCTTTCACTTCATTTGTCATTTTATTTCATATTCAGTAAAGATCTTGGAAAAAAGAAAACATTTGAATTATCCTTCACAGATGTTGTATGTTTAACTTTTTTCACCCACAAAAACAATCTGTCATGTTGAGTCAGTATGAGAATTTCCTGCAGGAAAATGTACAATACGCCCATAAGATCATGTTCATTATTCAAGCAAATGGATTATCTAAATGTATGTAAGATTATAAGGTTACGAAGGATCACTGATGCCATATTATAGGCCTTGTGGAGCTTTGTAATGTCAAACAGTCATCAGCTGACAAGGATGTCATGATTGTGTGTGTTTATCTGTGTCTCTGTCTACCCCAGAGCTCCGTCTACTCGCTTGCACTCAAGTCCATCATCAGTTTCTCTACGATCATTGTGCTGGGCCTCATCATAGCGTACCACTGCTGTGAGGTGCAGGTAACTATCTGGTTCTTAATTACCCCGACAGCTTTTTGTTTTGGGTTCTCCTCCCAGGGCTTTCTCTCAAATTTAAATGTTTCTCTGAAAATCTGTGGTAAAAAAGCAAGGTATTGTTATCATGTCACATCCCTATTTGCAGTGAAGGAAACTTTTTGTTTTGGATTTGGACTTCATGGGGAACTGAAAGTGATCCAAATGAAAAGAACTAAAGTTTTCTGTGTGAGCTGTTCAACCAAACAGTTTTTTTCCTGCTCAGGTTGTTTCATTTGAAGTTTTTTTCTAGAGGAGAAAGTAGGCTATACTTTACAAGGAGAAAGCAATAAAAGAATGATTGAGTCATTTTAAAGAATACTCCACCGATTGAGCATTGCAGTCCTGTAATATTGTCGAACTCATGATGGGCAGTTGAAAAAGAAACCTTTCAAAATCAATATAGCAGAACTTTTTCATTCCACATGTTCTTCTTCCTTGTCAAAACATAGCACCAACATTACCCACAATGCAACTTGAAGACTGACAGTTTCATCAATTCAGCTGTTATGTGCTTGTAGCAACTAATGTAGCCTCGAGTTAGCCCCAAGGCCACAGTTGTTTTCCTTCTTTCTTTCCAAACTTACTTACTCTTCACTTAAATGTCCAGTGTGGAATATAATATGAATAGGTATGTTTTCATTCGTATATAATCACCTGAAAATAGAAATCAAACGGACAAACCGAACACAAAAGGCTTAATACAACTCATTCCACACATGCAGCCACTAGTTAAAAGAATATGATGTGGAGTTAATGCATTTAATCATCTTTTATCCCCAGGTTAGGTGTTAATTTTCGCTACAATACACTCTTCCCACCTCTCTTGCAGCTCTACGTTCATGACATCGGTGCAGAAGATTGGCGGATTGCCATGACAACCGACCGAGTGGCTCTGGTAGCCCTGGAGCTGGCAACGGTGGCCATTCACCCCTATCCGGTGGGTCTCCTGGCCTACTTCCAGCAGACCTTTCAGCACACCACGACCCGCCTGTCGCTGTCAGAGACGGACCTGGAGATCATCCTGGCTCTGCCCATGTTCCTCAGGCTCTACCTGCTGGGCCGGGCCATGATGCTGCACAGCCGCCTCTTCACTGACACTGCGTCTCGCAGCATCGGAGCCCTCAATAAGGTGGGAGGGAGGTCACCCCTGGGCTCCCTTCAGAATCTGGCTTTGGACTTGGCTTGGATAGTACTGTGATCAAGATTATAACACTTTTAAATCAAATTAAAGAGTGAAATTTGAGGCTTTGCAACCTGCAACCTGGGATATTAAAGTCTATATTTTGGGCTGGGATTCCTCTATGAACATTTCATGCACATCTGTTTATGTCTTATGTCTAGGTGGGCCGAGAGGTCTGTAGAGGTGTGAATCTTGAGGTGTGACTATCACAGTTTTGCTCCCATGAATCCCAGTGGTTTCACATGCTGATTATGTCCCCTTACTAGCTCTCCTTTGCTTTTCTGCTTTGTTCTCCACCGCTGATAATATCCACCCGGCTAATCCCTTCCCCTATAAATGCTATTTAAGAGTGAATAAAAATGACCTTTGTCTCCCCTCTGCAATGCCAAACCTACTATCCATGTATCAAGCCAGATTGAGAACAAGTTTTCTTATCCCTCATTTCCTCTACATTATATAATCATAATCTGACAGGTTCTATCCTAAATAGTCTATGGCTATGTAAGTATGCCCCTACTGTTAAAATTATGACGTAAATGCATTTTGTTTGTGATCTCCAGATACACTTCAACACTCGGTTTGTGGGGAAAACTCTTATGACCACCTATCCAGGGACTGTGCTGATGATTTTCAGCGTCTCGCTGTGGGTTGTGGCAGCGTGGGGCTTACATGTTTGTGAGAGGTATGTGATGGTATATCAGCCTACTGCTGAATCTAAAGTAGTGTGCTCAAGGCCTCTATATTTAATCTTCATCCAAACATTGGAAGGTAAACAGTATTACTTTAATTAGAGCCAGGCCAAAATGTTTGATTTTAGAGGGAAAGGTTCACTGATTATCAATATGGAGGCAGAGATAGTGAATTTTTAAGCTGGAATGAAAAAAGACCTGATATGATAATGCAGAGGTACTCAGAAGGCTGCTTTCTTAAACAAATAACTTTATTAAAGAATATTTAAATTTAAAAAAAGGAAAATACATAGCTAAATCATCACTACTGTAAAAACTACAAGCATTTTTACATTATATACCGGAAAAAAAAAATTTTTTACTATCAGATGACATATACGCCGTCTGCAATAGGCCAATATCAGCCGATGATATTAGCCAACCGATATATTGGTCGGGCTTTAACTTTAATGGCTCTACTCTACCTTTAAAGCCTCAAAGTGCTTTGGAGGCTCATTTGAACCATCAGCTATCAGACTCCACAACACCACAACACCCAGTACATCAATGATTAAGACTGGTTTAACCTACAACCTACGACGCACTATTATCTTTAAATTGCACATGTACAGTTTGGTTAAGATATTTTGCACACCATTTTATTGCATATTGCTTATAGTGTATATATTTTTGAATATAGTCTTAGATTTTCTTTTATATTTTATAATATTCCTATTTTGTGATTCTTTATTATACTTTTACACTTCTGTACTTTTTGCAGTACATTCCCCATGGCTGTGTCTGATTTGAATTTCTCCTATGGGGGATCAATAAAGGAACATCTTATTATTTTATCTTATCTTATCTTACTGCAGCAAGAAAACAAATTTCACTCTGCTGTACTGTATCTGTACAAGCTGACATGTTCAAATCTTAACTAATCTTGACTTGATAATGTGAGTTTTTTGGATCATTGTTGGTGTTTTGTTGTACATTGTAAACTAGGACTGGGTAATAAGAAAATAATTAATCTCATCAGTACTGTGAAAGTAAGATAAGCTAGTAAAGCAGCATTTAAGACCAGAAAAAGACTAAATATAAGCTATCAATCAATGTCAGAGTACACCTTTTTTTTGTTCCTACAGACACCATAACTACAGGGACCTGAGTAGCAACTACATGGAGGCCTTGTGGATGGTCTCTGTCACCTTCTTGTCCATCGGTTATGGAGACGTGGTGCCTCACACCTACTGCGGTCGCAGCATCTGCCTCCTCACTGGGATAATGGTGAGCCAGAGGGTTGACAGCTCCTCTAGGGTCAGATTAGTTCAGATTCAGACTGTAAAAATGTCTCATTCTCACCCTAACAGGGAGCGGGCTGCACTGTCCTGGTGGTGGCGGTGGTCGCCAGGAAGCTGGAGCTGACCAGAGCAGAGAAACATGTTCACAACTTCATGATGGACTCCCACATCTCCAAGATGGTAAATATCAATATCTCCCTCAGTGTGGCTTTTATTTTACATATTATTGTTAACTGAATAGGTACAAAAGTAGGAGAGATTCTGCACAGACTAAAACCAGAACATTTTTCGTTGCAAAATATCCCAGGACACATTTCTTTTCACTTGTTTTAGGCAATAACTTTCAGGTTTTGTGCATAAATATAAAATAAGTCTCCCGGGTGCTTTTCTACATTCTTTCTCCAGTTAAAAATTGCAGCAGCAAATGTGCTGAGAGAGACTTGGCTTATCTACAAACACACTAAGCTGTCAAGAGAAAGAGACCACACCAGAGTCCGCATGCACCAGAGGAAGCTGCTTCTGGCCATCCACCAGTAAGACACTTAACCCTCATATAAAGCTGGTTCTGCACACGTCACAGTGCAAGAGAGACCAGCCTTCTCACTTTATTTGATATATATGTTTATGCTATGTTAATAATGATCTGCTTGTCAATCAATGCCTAACACCATCACTTTTTGCAGTACCAGTACCTGACATTTTTAATTTAAACCAATAGACACACCACTTTCTTTCTCTTTCTAAGTGATATTTGATTTTGAATGATCTGTGGTGGACTCCTGCCTGAGGGGCAGGGGCACCAGTGTACATAAAGTTGTGATGCATTTATGGTGAAACAGTTTAGTCAGGGTAAGAAATAGCACCCCAGAGGGTACTTTAACACATTTTGTCCGCTGAAAGATTTGATACTTATTTTTGTTTTCACCCACTATTTTTCCAGCTAAGATTAGATTTCCTTTGTGCAATGCACTGTGGGAGACTAGTCTGACAAATTTAGTCTGCATACTGAATGGTATCATGTATATGGTAACATATTTTATCACTTTTTCAGTGTGAATACTAAAAACCTGCTTAGAATCAGATTTGGTTTTGTTGGTTCTTGTGTGACCAAAAGCTTATGAATTCATCATTATCCTATAATTGTTCCTTGTGTCCGTTACTCAGCCACAGTTAGATACGCTTGGTTTAGTTTTGCACCAATACAATGGAAATGATGGAAAATTGGTTTCGATTTGTGAAAAATGAAAAATAAAACATCCTGGTAACTCTTTAATTTACGAACCTCCTTGTGAACAGTATTTACTGGAACTACGTCCGCTCAAAGAAAGTCTCTATTAAAGCTTTAGTGTGTTGTTTATCAGTAATGTGGCTGCGTGACCCTTTAAATGTCTCTTCTCGTCACTTTTCTCATATTGTTAAGGTAGTAATGTCATTCTAACCTCCTTTTCAAACCTGAAACTAAATAAATGTGTCCCCAGGCTACGGCGAGTGAAGATGGAGAAGAGGATACTTGCAGACCAAGGGAACACACTTGTAGACCTCTGCAAGGTGAGAGAGGCAAGTGAATGCATCATTTAGATATCACATCCTGTCCGAACCTCAACAAAGTAGCTTCCAATATGCCCTGATGCCCATTTTCTCTTCTCTTCTCTACGTGGACAAACACGCACCACTGCGGACATCTACCCCTACAGATGCAGAGCCTGATGTACGACGTGCTGTCGGAGGTGCAGGGCTGTAGGGGGGAGCTGGACACACACATCCATAGCCTGGAGAAAAACGTGGAGGAGTTGAGGGAGGGCTTCAGGAGCTTGATGCCACTCCTGTCCAGCACCCTGTCCATGCAGAACTCATCCATCCGCCACCTGCTCAGGGAGAGGGAAGAAAAGACAGAGACTGCTAGTACGAGTGTAGACAGGTAGAGGAGGAGGATGAAGAAATACAGGTTTCTCAGGTGCTCCTGGAGGAGTTATCTGCCTATTGTGCTGCTAAAATGATCATGTTGGGACATTTTTCTTACAGAGGTGGACACATTGGTGTTAATAACAAGGTTAAGGTTGTACAGAAGTAGTAAAATTGTATTTAAAATAGATTTTAGAACCATTTTCTGTAGCAGAAATACCATAAAACCAAAATGTAGTAATGACTCTTGATTCACTTCTTATGCAGCTTGTTGCAAACACTGTGGCGGCAACTTAACAACCTGCCACCAAATTGAACATTTATCAATACTAGAACAGCAATAATTAGTGAGTTGAGAGAAAATAATTGGCTACTTTTTTGGCCAGTAAATTGTTTTTCATGCAAAAATGCTCAACACTTTAATATTTTAGGGCTTTGGGCCAGATAGAGTAATTTGTGCTTTAGGAAACTGTGGCTTTTTTCCTCCACCATTATAGGTTTTATAGACCAACTGATTAATGGAGAACATAATCAGATTAATTGATCGTGAAAATAATTTAGTCACAGACCTAATCAATATATGAACTCAACCAAAAAATAAACCCAGACAGCTGTTATCACTCAGCGAGTTGCTTTACCTTAACACTGCACTTTTTTCTGATTATGTAATAGAAATTGCATAAAGTTAAATACAGTTTGGTATTGTAATATAAACCTATAATGTTACAGACTTGTGAAGATAACCTATAGTTCTTTCTAATAAAAATTATAAGACTGCCTTTGTATTTAATGTCTGAGACAGTTAGAATAACCACACACTAACCATTCCTTTAGCCAAAACAATATTTTATTAAGAGAGACAGGGTTGGAGGGTGGAGTTACAGCAACAACTGATCTGTCGACATGAACAGCGGAAATCCATCAGCTGTCCAGTCCGTCTTCAGGTCTCGTCTCAGATCAGACCGCTGGTTCTGCCGCCGTCCCGGAAGGCAGAAGACGCTGATATCAACCGGTCCATCCCCTCCTCTCCCCTTCAGCTCTGGGGGAGAACAGCTAGTGCTGCTTCCTCCTGAATGAGCACCCTGCCAGAGGAGACAATGACAGTCAGACAGATGCTGACACAAGAGAAGCCTTACAGTACAGAAATACTGCGAGCGATGCAGCGCCGCTATTGTCCTTCACAGCGCTGATACACAGAGTCATCGGTTTACCATCGTGTGACTGATTAGGTCAACATCTCTTCCCACTACAGACGTACTTTACATTTATTGAGGAAGGAAATAAGTGACACTAATGCAACATTAAGCTCGAAAGTAGAAGCTTTGACAGCAAAACTGACTAAATCAAATTATGGTGATTAAACAAGCCAGACAACTCTGCCACCAGCAGTGTTGGGAGATGTACAACACAGGAGACAAAAAAAAAAGGTAGATATTTGTTCTCAGCCTTCGAAAGGGGGGAGCCAGTGGTCTAGCTCAACCCTTCTGCAAACCGAGGGTCTATCTGGCACTGGAATGAGATTGGAAAACCACGATAGAGGAAGTCCAGTCACTAAGCAGTGCGGCCAAAAACTTCAAAATATAAATCAAACAAACAATTCATACACAAATTCTCTTTTTCAAGGTCTGAAGCACCAGACAAATGCCAATTATGACGTGAACTTCAGGTTAAGTTAAAAAAATGGCTAAATTAAGATTAATACATTGACAGTTCACTAAGTTATATTCTCAGTTCTCAATCTTTACACCGGATATTAAGTTCTGTTTATGAGCACAAAGCAGTTAAAAAAAAGGTTTTAAACAGGGTCCTGACTGGCACAAAGTTGTAGCATCTGGATGTTAATGTGCTTCATTTTCATCCTGCTCTTGTTTTATATCACAGATAAAAACAGTATAATGAATCACATATCGGTTGATGTTTAATGCAAGTGTGAAGCTGCTGACGAGTAACAAGAAGTTTCACAGCAACCAGTTCAATACGTAAAATGAAAGTAAAATCTGGCATTAATGTCGATCCTATGCAGACAAGGTGAAAACAGTTTTGAGTTTATTCTACAAAACTGCACTCAACCACTTCCTGAAAGCTTTCAGTGAAACAGGACTGGGAGCATTTAAAGGATGGTCCTCAAACATCAATTATTTAGTAAAGTGCACAAAATTTTATATGGAAAAACTAAATCTGTGTGCAGATTTGTGAAGGACAATTTAAGGGACCAAAAACATTTTGACATTTTGGGTTCTGCTGATGTTGACGGACCCTCACTCATACTTAGTGAATCAATAACTGAATATAGAACATGTAGCATAAAACAGCACCAGGCTAGTGAGATACTTTGTGATTTTAGGCTCCATAATAATCCCAACTCTTTATAATTAAGATTCAGATAAACTGCTAAAGTATAGATGTTGTAGATCAATACTGACCCTCTGTGAGACGTGCTTTGCCGCCAGTGGGCTGACACAGGACTGTTGAACAGCCAACACACAGCACGACCGTCTGAGCGTGGCTGAACACTGTCGTGATCTTGTAGCATCCTGTAAGAGACGGACGAGACACGAATTAAAACAAACCCCCTGACATAGACCACTCTGACCCTGGGGGGAGGTGGATTAATATGTAGGAAACAATGTACCTGGACATTTCACATCCATAAAGTAAGAGTTGGGACTCTGAACAAGACGCTTCTTCTTGTGCCTCCTCTTCTCCTCCTCAGGGGATGGATGCAACAAGTCTTTTGCGAGCTGTTTTTTTTTTTTAAAGAAAAGAGGAAATGAACAAAAGGTTAGTGAACCATATCAGTAAAAAACTTCCATCTCTGCCACCTATCAGTTAAAACTAGTTACTTCACATTTATTGAGCAAGCAAAGTAGTGACACTAATGCAACATAAAGCTCAAAAGCAGCTTTGACTGCAAAACTGACAAATTATGGCGATCAAACAAGCTAGACAACTCTGCCACCAGCAGTGTTGGGAGATGTACAACACAGGAGACAAAAAAAAGGGTAGATATTTGTTCTCAGCCTTCGAAAGGGGGGAGCCAGTGGTCTAGCTCAACCCTTCTGCAAACTGAGGGTCTATCTGGCACTGGAATGAGATTGGAAACCCACGATAGAGGAAGTCCAGTCACTAAGCAGTGCGGCCAAAAACTTCAAAATATAAATCAAACAATTCATGCACAAATTCTCTTTTTCAGGGTCTGAAGCACCAGACAAATGCCAGCTTTACTAAAAAACCCAAATATTATCTTTCTAAATTGTATAATAATTAATAGTATTGTTTTGTTCTGCTGACCGACTGCTCGGTTTGTAACGTTAAGGCTTCTCGGCCGGCCTAGTCTCTTAGATTAAACAACGCAGGATCCGTATTACGACCAATCGCGGGTGATTCTTCAAATATTAAAGCAAATTAACCTCGTCTTCAACCTGAACAACACAAACCAGGAGGGAAATCTCGACTCTTAATGTTCAGTTTCACTCCGTTACGAGCCCGTTCAGACCCGCCGCTGAACTGGCTCCATGTTTGCGGTGTGTGCGCAGCCATCTTGTGTCACAATGCGCTCGCAGTGTGCTCTAAATGTGTCCCCAGTTATTTGTGTCAAACTGGGACGAAAACTCAACGAAAGCACCTGAAACCGACACTGGTCGAGTCGCTACTCCCTTATGAAAACACCGAGCCGTGTGTTGGCTCTTCAACACTCGATTAAATGGTAAAAATGTCATTTTACAAACGCCTGTGGATACTCACTGGCATGTTGGCGAGGAAATAGCCGCTGCCGAAAAGGAGGCATTACCGGAAGCGAGGGGTTCATATTGGTTGTTCCTTTGAGCACCAGCCGGACGTGACGAATTTGACACGCTGTGGCGGCCATGTTGGTGAGGTCTAAACCCCGCCCTGCTTCCTCCACCGGGAAAACGTTTATATATTTTATTATCAAGTGTCCAAATATGCACAACGACTGTTGTTGTTGTTGTTTTAAAAAAATATATATAAATACAAAAAATATTTTAACACAGTACATTTGAAATACAGAATAACGTACTATAACTTTAAGATACACTCCCCAATGTTATTATGCCAGTCCCAAATCACAAAATGTATTATCACACAGATTATTAGACTGTGTGCTTAAATGAAAACAAACTGTGGACAGTGGGGGGAGGAAAAAAAAAAGAGTTCATATTTTAATTTCCTTTTAGGACCCCCTGGTGGTACTTCAGGGCCCCAAGGAGCAGACAAACCTTGTCCTCACTATCTGATGTGTAACAGAGAATAACCACTTAATGATTCTTTCAAGTCTCTCTTAATACAATACCAACATGCCGATATGTGCACTGAAAGAGTTCTGGTTCAATGTTATTTCTGCTTCCTGTCCATACTGGCTATGATGAAGCAATCTCTTCTTAGCCCAACTCCAATGTAAGAGATAGGCGACAACATTTCTGTGAAAAAATAATTTCTACAGTTCAGCTGAAGTTTATATTAGGCCTCCACAGCCTGAAATAGAGGAATGAAGTTGCATCATCCTAAGTCACGGCCTTTTTAGCATGACATTTGCTTCTTTGTGCTATATTTCACGGCAGCTTGGCAAAAAGGCAGCAACTTACACGTACACGACACCAATCAAATTTTAAAAATCTGGTCAAGTCCGTGGTAGATAAATCATCAGGTATCGCCTGTCACAGTGGCTGACAACTGTGAGATATGATAGCTATGGTTCTGTATTAAGTATTTGGCTGTTCGTTCTTTGTCCTTGATGTAAATTCTGACCGTGAGTAGACCAAAGCAGTAAAATGGATCCGTAAACAGGGTTCTGATTAGCTGTGCAAACCATCTGGATTTTAATGTACCACACTGTCCTCCTGACTTTGATTATAATACTTCCATCTCATTGGTTATAAAACCACAACAGAGGACAAATATATGTATGTATTTTTATTGTTATATACCAAATTAAAGGCATTCGGTATCAGTCTGGAGAAGTTGGTGTCAGTTCTCTCAGCACTATGCTCCCTGCCCTTCCTCTTCTGTCTGCTCAGGGGCATGTTTTTCAAGCGGGTCTGTGAGTGTCATCAGTTCCTTTATCTTCAGATAAATCTCACACTCTGGCGAGAAGCGGTTTCTCTGTAAGAAAGATCAGAAATCCTCAAATAATATATCATCACGTTCCTCTGCAACTGTAGATTTAATCAAAGGTTGATGTATTTATGGTGTCACTGATACAGAGGGAGCATAAACTAAAATCTTGACTAATATCATTGAAATACTGGTAGTTAAACATAGTAAAATATTGTATTATACTATACTGTACTAGAAATGAATAAAAAATGTAATGTGTGATGTAATAAACTTTAATAGATAATAAAGGAAAGTTAAAAGTAGCTCATTTAAAATGTACTTGAAACAGTGTTGCCACATTCCCAGATTTCAGTGAGTGAGTACAATGTTATCGTTAGCAACAGGAATGATGGCCAAAGCTATTTAAAACCAGGCCCAAGTTGTAGGAAACCAGAATTATCATGCAGAAATACTGACTTCCAAAATACGAAGTCAAATAAAAGTACACAAGTGACTTGAGTCGCATACCTGCAGACAGAGACGCAGCAGGCCTCCTCCCGCACCCTGCATCTCTAGTGATGTCAGGAACAGAGGCAGAGACTTCTCTGTAATCCTGTTTCCTACACAAACAAACACACAAACACACACACACACACACACACAACATTACCACTTTATTGAAATCTTCAATGGTCCTTATGAGATTTCATTATTTATTTTGTGCAGGGGAAATAGCTGCTAATTAGCGAGCAGCTGTTGCGAAACAAACAGATACATAAATACTTATTTTAATAATCTAATGTCACCCGTGAATAATAAACCTCCCATTTTTTTCATTATGTGTCTTTTTTTATAAACAAATTATAATACAAAAGGTAAAATTATTATATGTAGCACTTAAACTGAATACAAGGAGCTTTTAACTGGTTATTAATGAGTCTCCATCTAATACTGATGCCTCTGTAGGACCTATATAAAGCAAACAAGACCATCAGTGAGAAGATTAGCTATTTCTATATAGTTAATGTCTGCCACCTGGTTGGATTCAGTTGGATTCCCCTTGAAATCAATTAAACGAGGCAGAGAAAACACTACCACTTTAGTCCACAGGCGCCACCAGAATCAACACAAAATAAAAGTTCCTGGTTGCTGCTTTAAAGTTGAGTAAAAAAAAGTGTAATATAAAGTGACCTAAGAACAACCCCATCTCTGCTAAAGGGTCTTATACAGGATATTTGTGCACACTGATTCTGAATCACAATCACAACAAAACTGATGTTCAACAATAATGCCAGTTGAAATATTCCTGTTATGAAACTTAACTGTAGTTGTCCTGGAAATACTTTGATGTGAAAGGTTTCCAGATTTAGACTTTTCTGTCAAGCTGAGATGAACACAACACAATTACTGACCTGCCAAGTTTAGGGAGGTCAGAGTCCTGTTTCCGGGCAGAATAAGCTCACCGTCCCTGTGCTGCACCGACTGGTCCAGCAGGGGGTTCACTATCTC